CCTTACAAACAAAGATACATAGCAGGTTCCAGTAAATGTTCAACCAAGCCTCTTTCTTTACTCCTCACTAAGATATTAACAGTGGTGAAGGAGAAACTTCAAGAGTACTGTGCAACAATATATTCGAGAAGTGGTGTAAATCAGATGTGGATACTTAAAAATTCCAAGGAACTTTTGGAAAATTTGAAATCACAAGATTTAACCAAAATCAACAGCTTAAAAACTTATTACTTTTCAACTTTGTACACAACCATTCCCCACGATAAATTAAAGTCCAGGCTTTTTGATATCATTGACAGCTGCTTTTTCAATAAAAATGGAACTCGTAAATATACTTACCTTGTCATTGGTCATTTGCAAAATTATTTTGTTAAAAAACATTCTGATTTTTCACACAAGTACTCTGAAGTTGACATTAAAAAGATGCTTGAGTTTCTGATTGACTATATCTATCTGGTTTTTGGAGACCAGGTCTTCCAACAATCTATTGGAATTCCCATGGGTACCAATTGCGCCCCGTTATTAGCAGACCTTTTTTTGTATTCATATGAAGCAGAATTTGTTCAAAATCTTGTACGTGAAAAGAAGAAAACACTTGCATTGGCCTTCAACTCGACATTTAGATATATCGACGACGTATTGTCAATTAACAATGGCTATTTCCATTCTTATGTCGATACGATATATCCTTGTGAACTTGAGATAAAAGATACCACAGAGTCTGACACATCTGTTTCATATTTGGATATTTTACTTGAAAAAAACGTTAATGGTAATCTAACAACCAAGCTTTATGATAAACGTGATTGCTTTAACTTTTCAATCGTCAACTTCCCTTACTTATGCAGCAATATACCTTCATCACCTGCATACGGGGTATATATCTCTCAGTTGATTCGATACGCAAGAGCATGCTCTACGTATGTACAATTTCTAAAACGAGGTAAATTATTGACAAATAAGTTGGTGAAACAAGAATATCAGCTGTCTCGTTTAAAGTCATCATTTCGTAAGTTCTATGGTCGATACAATGGCCTTGTCAGCAAATACAATTATCATTGAGTCAAATGCTGACTGACTTTTTTCACACTAATTGTTAGGCCATTATTTACACACTGAATTGTCGACGGATTTTTCCGATATTTCCCGATCATGACAAGGAGCACACGGCGGGTGTGACCGGTCGGCAGGGAATGCTCACTCCTCCATGGCACCTGATCCCACCTCTGATGTTTGGAGGTCCGTGTGTTGCTCTGCTCCTATTTTGTATTGATTATGGACTTTTGAGCTTGAATACTGTTCGTTATCTCCATATATTTCATTTGCGTTTTTTCCCGTTTGCTTTTCCTTTGTCCGTCTAATAATCGATACGTACAACATCAGAAAATGATTTTAGCCTATTTAGTCACGTAACAATAAAATTTTATTCAGTGTTGACTTGTTTTACGAAATATGTAATTATTTAAATATTTGAAATTCACTAAATTTTGCCCTCGGTAGAGTACACCTTCCAACCCATTTAATTTTCAGATCAGTGGGACTTCAATACACTAAAACGCCCATTTTAACTTTTCATGGATTGCTGATTGCTGATTTCCTTAATTCCTTAATGTTTATACATAATTTATTGTATACCATGCAAATTATATATATATATATATATATATATATATATATATATATATATATAGAGAGAGAGAGAGAGAGAGAGAGAGAGAGAGAGAGAGAGCAACTATCTGTATTCTTTATCAGTATTATTTGTAATTGTCATGATAGATTATAGCTTTGGCACTGATCATGAAGATCGAATGTAGTTTCCAAAGTCGAATAACAAACAAACAAAAAAAAAAAAAAGATTTGAAAATCAGATCTATTTACAGAAAAAGTAAAAAAAGAAGGACATAGATTCAGAAATGCAAGTACATGTAAATATGAAATACATTATTATAATAAGTGTTTCAAGTTGAATATATAAAAAAGAATTTGAAAGTTAGAAACTTTCAATTTATTAAGAACTTCATTACTTTTTCTAATTATTGATATGCACTTTGTTGTAAACATGGATTTCATACATATGTGATTTATAGTAACGTGCTAAATCCATTAGCTAGATTATCAGTGTGACAAATCGAAACTTGATCTTCCAAAGTTGTTTTTTTTTTTAAATGCATCAATGATAAGTTTTTTTTGCATTGTACATTGCAACAAAATCGCAAGACCTGTGCAAAGAAACTGAATAATAGTTGTTACGTTAGCGCATCATAAAAATTCAAAAGCATACTACCTGTGATTTATAACACAGTGCAGTGGTTTTTAAAAGGAAGATAAAATCAATTGTCACTTATATAGCATTCATTACGCTTTCTTTATTTCTTTACAACTGTTTGTAACTCTTTGTGATTGGCCTGATCGACAGACTTCTATACTATTACTGTCCTTTATTTTTTAATTTTCTTTAGGACTTCTATGTTGTATACCTTATAAGTTATAACGTGAAATTTTCGATACCTTGTGATATATATATATATATATATATATATATATATATATATATATATATATATATATATATATATATATATATATATATATATATATATATATATATATATATATATATATACTTGTTACATGGTACTATAAAAATTTCTATTTGAATGAAATTTAGTCCTTTTCATATGAAACAAGACGTATTTGTAAAACACTGATGCACCCGTATGGCAGCTCCAGGCCAAGGTTAAAGTTTGCTTCAAAGATATATAATTATTTGAAATATGATAGCCCTAGCACCAACGTTCAGAAAATATTACGGAAGATGAAAGATTTTTTAAAGTAGATCTCACTCTAAGGTAAAGGTCATGAGGTCAAAAGGTTGGTAAAAGTAAACGTATTTTTGAAAAAAAGAAATATGTGAAAAATGAGAGCCCTAGCACCAACCATTCAAAAATGGTTATATAGTTTTTACAGATGAAGGTTAAAATCAAAGCTCAAGGTCAAGAGGTAAAAAATGTTGGCTCCCAAGGGAATGTCTTGCCACAGGAAATACACGTGTGATATTAGAAAGCCCTAGCACCAACCGTTCAAAAATATGTCAAAGGTTAATGTTTTCCAAAGTAGTCAAACTCTTAGGTCAAGGTCAAAAGGTAAAAAAAAATTGGTACCAATTGAAATGTTTTGTCATATATAATGTAAAAGCCCTAGCATCAATCGTTCAAAGGTTATGGCCAAGGTTGCAGTTTTGTAGATTTTACAAAAGTTGGTCAAACTCCACGGTCAAGAGGTCTGATATATTCGTACCCCTCCCCCCCCCCCCCCCAACAAAAATCACAAGGAATGCACGTGAAATATGAAAGCCCTAGCACCAACCATTTGAAATTTATGGGCAAGATTAAAGTTTTTGCTGACAAACAGACAAAAGGCAAACAGACAGAAAAAAGGATTGAGAGACAAAAACTTCATCCTCCAAATCTTCGCATATTTTAGTTCGTGGGCGTAAAAAACTATTACGTTAAAAGTAATTTTAAATGAAATGCTTTTTCGTTTAAGAAATATTCAACTTCTTTTGGTTCTACTTTTACATATAATGAAAAAAAATGCCTGCTTGCTACGGTGTTGGATCATTCCAAGTTTGAATCTGATTAATACACTTTGCCAAAAATCCCGTTATCCAAACACAGCTACAAGGGAAACAAATCTAGCAGAAAACGAACCATATGAATGCAGAACAATTCGTGGAAAACATGCAAACCCCTTGCATTGAGATGCGATTGGTGGCAAAATCACTGTACACGAATATATTCCATACCCATCGCAACATTAATACGATCGCTGATCTTTGAAAGCTATTTAAATACCTGACAAGGTACAACAAATCGTAATAAATACATATAACATTTGTATGATTCTTAAATAATGATAAATAAGCTATTTGTTTTAAAGACTTTATTTGCACAAATGACACGTTTTGCACAAATTACATATGAAATGTGAAGATAAGTAATCAAACTTCAAATTCAGATTTCAAATGAAAAAATTCCAATTGAACAGCAGAGAAAACACGGAAATCTGAAAACAGAGGTTGGATTAGGTACCATTGAATAGTAAGCATCCCCTGTTAACCAGTCACACCCTCAGTGTGCTCTTCGTCATGAAAAAACAGAAAAATCTGTAGACAATTTATGTGCGAAAGTACTGGCCTAACAATTTGCATAAAAGATGTCTGTCAACAACTGACCTAACGATAGACGATATTTGCGAACACGGTCGTTGTATCGACCATGGAATTTGCAAAATCAAATTCAAATTCTAAATTTATGTATTTTATTTTCAAAAAATTGCATCAGCCATTTACTCTCAGAAAATGAAAAAAAATTCAAAGACAACAATGTACTTAAGTGATGAATAAAAACAATGTTTCTTATCTAAATGATGAAAATACATGTATATAAATCATTCGTTTAATTTATGTTAACCTATTAAAATATTAAGAATTCGTTAATTGATTAGATATTGAGTGATATTATATAAAATACGATGCATATAGAATTAAAATATTTATATCTAACTTATGTATTATCTTAAATATTCATTATATATACATATAGTAAACATGGAAATAACACGTACCTTAATGCAGCAAGAGAGTCTCTGATATTTTATCAGAACGTTCCTTTAAAGGGCTGAAACTATTTTTCTAAACAAGCAAAATTCTTTTCCTTTGAAGAATACTTTGTGAAAGTTTGACAGAGAATTTAATTTAGTGGTCACTGATACAACAACAAAATACTAAAGAAATACTAATTTTTCTTTTAAAAAATAATAAAAGAAGCTTATTTTGTTATTTTCTTACAACGGGATGCAGTTGATCTATGGGGTTAACATATCATTAATATTTTTGCGAACTAAGCCGAAACATTTAATTGATTGATAGATGTGTTTTCTTGCTATCGATTTCACCCTGAATAAATGAATGATTTATTGATTTTTCTTGTAATTTCTAGACAATGAAGGGCCGTGGCAGTAGAAATCAGGCATGTGTTGTTGTAATAGTTTTTCTAGTCGTACTCAATGGTTCTATCAGAGGTAAGTCATATTTAGCTTTTGAATTGCCCTCTCCCCAAATCTGGTTGCAATTGATGTGGTAACATTTTAATCCTCCAGTGGACTTGTTTTTAAGAGTCATGTCAATCAAGAGATACAAACTCACACAATGTCATTATCATAATTTTTTCCCTCATTCAACTTTGTAGAAATATATTCTTTTAAAATACCTTATATGCCTTCATAATATCAATTAAAATCGAACTGGTATTAATAGAAAATTTCCATGCCAATGTTTTGCATAAATCTCAACAATGACGGAAAAATCAATAATTAAGAGGTTTGTAGGTGTAATAGTGAAATTGTTATTAAAATTTCTTACTAGTCATAATATCGACTGATCTGTAAAAGAATATTACACCGTCATGGTATCATGGTATATATTCAAATGATAATTGTTACTTATTGAGGTAAAATAAAATCTTCACCCCGTATGATCTCATCAAAAGCTTGCAATAGACTGAAATCATGTTTAATCCATAGTACATGAAAACAGAAATTTTGAGGAAATCCAGAGCTAGATGTAGGAAAGAAACTAATTTCTAGACATGCATGAAAGTCAAAATTTGTTAAATTGATTTAGTCTTTTCCAAGGTTGTACTCATATGATGATAAGAACACGAATTAATTTAAAAGCATATTGTATTTATTTCATTAACATTTTTCAACAAGATATAACTTGAAAGTAAATTATTATTATTTATTAAATATTTCCTAAAAGGCTCATTATATTAAAAGAATTTTAGAGGAACTTGGATTTAATTCTACAAGTGGTAATCCAACTTATAGTTCCCTCTCTAAGGAAGAAATTCTTCAAAATCATATGTCAGTTTTGAATCTTTTTAATATTCCAAACAACCATAATGAATTTGAATTACCATATCTATATTGGATTCCGAAACTTCATAAAAATCCTTACAAACAAAGATACATAGCAGGTTCCAGTAAATGTTCAACCAAGCCTCTTTCTTTACTCCTCACTAAGATATTAACAGTAGTGAAGGAGAAACTTCAAGAGTACTGTGCAACAATATATTCGAGAAGTGGTGTAAATCAGATGTGGATACTTAAAAATTCCAAGGAACTTCTGGAAAATTTGAAATCACAAGATTTAACCAAAATCAACAGCTTAAAAACTTATTACTTTTCAACTTTATACACAACCATTCCCCACGATAAATTAAAGTCCAGGCTTTTTGATATTATTGACAGCTGCTTTTTCAATAAAAATGGAACTCGTAAATTAACTTACCTTGTCATTGGTCATTTGCAAAATTATTTTGTTAAAAAACATTCTGACTGTACACACAAGTACTCTGAAGTTGACAATAAAAAGATGCTTGAGTTTCTGACAATATCTATGTGATTTTTGGAGACCAGGTCTTCCAACAATCTATTGCAATTTCCATGGGTACCAGTTGTGCCCCGTTATTAGCAGACCTTTTTTTGTATTCATATAAAGCAGAATTTGTCCAAATCTTATACGTGAAAAGTAGAAAACACTTGCATTGGCTTTCAACTCGACATTTAGATATATCGACGACGTATTGTCAATTAACCATGGTTATTTCCATTCTTATGTCGATACGATATATCCCGGTGAGCTTGAGATAAAAGATACCACAGAGTCTGACACATCAAAAAGACGTTAATGGTAATCTAACAACCAAGCTTTATGATAAACGTGATTACTTTAACTTTTCAATCGTCAATATACCTTCATCACCTGCATACGGGGTATATATCTCTCAGTTGATTCGATAGGCAAGAGCATGCTCTACGTATGTACAATTTCTAAAACGAGGTAAATTATTGACAAACAAGTTGATGAAACAAGAATTTCAGCAGTTTCGTTTAAAGTCATCATTTCGTAAGTTCTATGGTCGTTACAATGGCCTTGTCAGCAAATACAATTATCATTGAGTCAAATGCTGACTGACGTTTTTCATACTAATTGTTAGACCATTATTTACACACTGAATTGTCGACGGATTTTTCCGTTATTTCCCGATCATGACAAGGAGCACACGGCGGGTGTGACCGGTCGGCGGGGGGTTCTTGCTCCTCCATGGCACCTGGTCCCACCTCTTATGTTTTGGAGGTCCTTGTGTTGCTCTGCTCCTATTTTGTATTGTTTAATGGACTTTTGGGCATGCATGCAGTTCTTTGTTTCCATATATTTTTTTTCCACCAAATTTTTAAGAATCTGTTTTTTCCAATATAAATTGTTAGTCATTTCCTTCAGAAGATCTCTTCATTGGCAATTTTGGAAACTGGATAAATACTATGTCTTTTAGAGTGGACTAAGTTATCCACAACAAATTTGATTGTTTGTTGGACATAATGAATAAATGGTAGGGAATATTTACAAGGTCGTCGACGATGACAACTTTAGAAATCCTGAAGAACACAATCCTTAAGCTTAATATCCTTAAGATCACAACGTAAGACAAAATAGACGAGGGAACGTAACTTCTTTAGTTATTTTCTATTTTTATCCTGAATTCAGTGTAGCTGCAGATCTGTAGCTCGCTGGTCTGAAAAAAATATGGAATGGACGACCAGAGAGATACTCTACCATCCACTGATAAAAGTATATTTATACTGCACACAAAATGCACAGTGTTTCTCGATTTATTTCTTCGTATATTCAAAATATTAGTAATCGTTTTTTCCTTGCATATTCTTTTACTATTTCCACAACAGATATTATACACAAAATTTCATTATATTTAAAATATGTTAGGAACACACGTTTAGAAATTTTTTGAAATAGCATCTTAATAATACGAAGAAATAATAGAAAAACAGCGCACTTTTTGTGCTCAATAAATATACACTTTTTTCAATCGGTTGCATTTTAGTTTTCTAGTCGTCCAACCCCATTTTTTCGGACCAACAAACTGAGCTGCAGATCTGCAGGTATTCACAGTGTAGAATGTCTTTGCTTCAGTTTGTTGATTACATCTAAATAATAAACTTATTTGTTGAAAAAAAGTGTTTTTATTAAACACTGACATGTTCTAGAGTCCAGAATCCTTGTCCTCGGTTTTTTAAAACGACAACAAAAGAGAAAATATGTTTTGAACTGTGAATTTAATTTATATGATGTTTTTCCAAATTATGCATGTTTTTATATTGAGATATGTGTCTTAATACAGAGATTAGACACTAAAGTCGACAATCGAATCGTTGAAAATAAAATCTTTTCTACAAACATATAAAGGTATAGTGAAATCATTTATTTTCTTGGGGGTTTAATTTTCGTTGATTGCGAGGTATGAGGAGATCCAAGAATTCATATCCACCATGAAATTAAAATGTCCATATATACATGTATATCTACACAACAATTCTTCAACCACGACATCAAACCCCCAAGAACTAATTTTATCCTCAAACCTCGATTTGCCCCCACTAAAATATGTGATTTTACAGAAAATTGAACTTGCATACCAATTCGATACATCATTGCTTCGATTTCATTCTTTTGTTCTTGCAGTCTAAAAATTTATCTTTGGCAGTCCGGTATTAGCGAGGAGCAGTCTCATATAAAGTGTAATATCAGACCGTCTCTGTTAGGTTATCCTTCAAAATTGAACCCTTACTGAACAAAAGAATAAAAACATGATTTTTGAGCAAAAATCAAAGTTTTAGCTTATAGTAGGACGATTATTTGAAAAAAATAGAATATTATGTATTGATTCTTAAAAACGAGAAAATTATAAACGAAATTCCAATTAAAACTGAATATTCTATGTATTATCAGGAATGGAGAAAATGTAACCTATCAGAGAACAGCGCTCTTAATTTGTAATAAACTTACACAATGTTCCAGTTAGTGTTAGATGTTCAGAAATTCTTTTAACTGAGTTGATTACTTAAAACCAGAGGCACTTTACCGCCATGAGCAATTACCTAGTAAATCTGTCATTTAAGCATAGAAGTGTTCAAGTCCTGGCTTCATCACAAAATTATCCGTTACCCATACAAACTTTTATAAAGTTAATCTCATTTTTTATTAGAATTTAAAATACCTTCAACATCTACTTTTTTTTCTCTGCTTGTTCAATTCAAATCAAAGTTTACATCTGCATTTTCTTTTCCATTCAAAATGATGTAATTCACTAGATTATCTGTATCATAATTCGATGCACTGCTTTAAACTTTTTGACAAAAATCATCCCATTCTTCACTTAAGAAATCTAATCACAAAATTTCTAAAACTATGAAGGTGAATTCAAAAATACGGAGAAGTTTCAAGCCTGAATCTTGAAAGAAGTCTTTCTTAGACAAGCCGCCAAGAACGTCTTGTCTAAAAATTGCCCTCCTACAGAGTATGATTTGAAACACTTCCAATAGGTTAACTACAGAGACGTTAGAATACCGATGCTACGGTAGTTACACTCTTTTTAAAGTACCAACACATCACTTTATTGCTGATCTCACTGCACTTGCTTCCAAAGTTAATGCGATACCATGTTCGAGTAAAGATCCCTTTGAAACGTCCAAAACAGTCATATCATGGTCCTTGTGTGCATCGAAGAGCTGAAGAAAATCTCTAAGAATTGCAATCCTATTGGTGCAACTGCGTGTTAAAACGAAAGGTTACAATGAAAGATGATTCGATGATTAGGCTGCAAAAATATAAAACAATAAGGGTTTAATTTCTTTCTTTAGTAATATCCATTGTTGGGTTGGGATTCTTTGTTGTTTAACGTCCCTCTCGAGAATTTTTCACTCATAAGGAGACGCCACCACTTGCCGGTAGAGAGTTGCAAATTTTGTTCTATACTCGGCACTTACGGCCATTGAGCAGTGAGGGATCTTTTTCGTGCCGGCACCTACTGCGACACGTGACATCGGTTTATACGGTCTCATCCGAAGGACCGGTCTCCACGTCCCACAGTGGGATTCGAACCCGCGACGTAAGGATCAACTCCTTACTTCGCGACTCTAGAGCAACTCTAGAGCAGACGCTCTAACCACTGCGCCACGCGGGCGATATTCTCTCGTTTGAATAGTCGAAATTCAATGTAAATGGTATATCTTCAAATTCGGTCCAGTTCAGTCGTGTTATTTTTACTATAGAGTTGGATGAGAATGTGTTTATGAAGAACAATGGTTGAGAAATACATGTATATTTTCCAGAAAATTGGAGTGGGATTAAGTCTAAATTGAAATCTTTAAATTTGATTTTTCACTGTTATGTCTGTCAGATCTAATTTTAAAAGTCACTAAATTTGAACTCTAGATTAAAATACCGTTTAGCTGGTTATTTTGGCGGGGATATAATTTGGCCTTTTTGCAATTGACAAAAATTTTCAAAAATGGAATTCGCTAAATTTACTATGTACTTTTTTATATATACATGGTCTACAAGTATTCTCAAAGACATAACTTAGGTGATGACTGAGCTATATGCATGCGGTATATTGGTGAATATTTACAATATATTTGTATATGAATATAAAGAAAACCTTATACTTGTTAAGTTAAGTGTTGAATTAAGTAATCTATGTTCTTGTTTAAAATCAAGTTCACTCAGTGAAGATGATTCATGTATAATGATAATATAATTGGGGAAGGTATACATTGACCTTTAATATTTGACTTTATTTGTAAAGATTAAACACACACATTGGTCAAATAGCCACTACATACTCAGTTTCGAACCCTTTCCAATCAGGGATTCAAGTGTAATGGCTAGGAGACATTTTCAATATGTCGTTCCCTAGTGACATTTACATGTACCTTCTAGATAAAACCTTGAGTCAAGATCATGAAACACCTTTAACTATAAGTCATGGGCAACGACACAACAGAGAGTTTGTTCAGATCAGTGATGCCAGAGTTATAGCTATATACATTTCAGTATCTCATTGCCAAGATACTCTGACCTTTGAAATATGACGCTGATATAATGCCCTGTTCACAAGAAGAGTTTAATTCGAATTAAACGTAAGTAACTGAGAATTAAATTTGACCCGCATTCACAAGGCGAATTTAATACGAATTACTCTAGTTCAAATTAGTTTAATACACATAAAATTACTTTGCATTAGGTCCATCCGAACGCTAAGCGAAGCCAATTCGAATTAAATTTTGACGCATGCGTAATAGCAAAATTAAGTCGCATGCCACATGTCGGTGGTAGGTACTTATGCTATTTGTGAGTAAAAAACAAAGGAAAAATATGCTTATCTACAAAAACGTCTACAGATACTATAACATTATGTAAGCTAGATGCTGCTCTGTATAAGGTGACGTGATTTGCAAATGACGTCATAATGGCCTTATTGAATAACTTACCTGTAGAAATAAAACTTTAATGCGCATTAGTTAACTTCTCATTAACTGTCGTGTGTATACAATATAATTCGCATTAGTTTTATTAGAATTATTTTACGTGGCATTATTTTATTGCGAGTTAAATATTTAATGAGTGAACATTCGAGTGAACAAGGCATAAGATGATGTTCTGGGTCATAGGCAACAACTGTAATTTGTCCATTAAAATATTCATATAAGCTTAACGAGGCCGAGTCTAATTCGAGTGCGCATGTCTTTGCGCAGCTTTTTTAGTTTCATACAGTCGTAGGTGCAACATAACAACTATTCTTAGTATTGTAATTTTAATACAAAATTTACATTAAATTATATTACCTGTAATGATTGTGGGTCTTAAAATGTGCTTTTAAGACAATAATTAGGATTAAACCCTAAAATGGCATTCACGACGTCACTGTTTTCTGGTTCTGTAAGCAATGCATGACGCTGAAGAATGACGCATAACTCGCTTGAGTATTCAAGACGTCCATGGACATTTTATTAAAAACTGTTGAAAGAACATCAAAGGAAACATACCAGCATTCTAAACATGGTTATTTTTTTCCAAAGTAATTCATCTGCACCGATATATACAAAAGGTATGCCGTAATATGGGAAATTTAGAGGTATTGGCCATTGGAAAAAAATAAACTTTGTAATAATTCCTAGACCAAACCAGATGGTCAACTTTTTTGAAATTTCTCAGTTTGGTGCCTTTTTACAATAACTTTAATGTATTTGACTGAAAAGGAAATCCCTAGGGCAGAAATACAAAAAATAAGGGGAACATGTGATAATTTGGCGCTTTTCCAACAAATTCCCATAGGCTCCAATGGTAAAATTTGACAACTTTTGAGATGGCCCCCTAAAAAATCGGGATAGTTAACATTTGATTTTTTTTATTTTAAAATAATTAGTATAATAGTAAAAATTCATTTAAGAAATTTTATCAAAATATCTAGGGTAGAAGTAATTAGGCTCGGCCTCGCTAAGATGCCAGCAAGGAAAGTTTTAAGAAAATATTAACTTTCAATGAATAACTATACAGCAGACATATTGGAGTGTTTGTATCCAATAATTTCTTCATAATGTACATGTAGTCAAGTCAAATTTTTCGAATGATAAATTTTAGTTAATGTTTTTGCGCTTTTTCTTGAATTTATGAGGGCGCAAAATGCAACATCTTAGTTATAGGGATTTCAGAAAATATTTTTCTTGATAAAAACATAATTCTATTTGCAAAATGCAACAAAGAGGTTCTTTTATCACGTAACATAAGGCAGATTCAATAGTTTTTTAATTTTTATTTGTTATAATTTTATGACAGCACAAGAACTTGTTTTTTCATTATTTGAAATGATTCAGAACAATTTACGGAAATTGGAATGAAAAGAAATCTATGTAAATACATAATATTTTCATAGAGGTTTTATTATTTACAAGCTAAAATGTATAGGTAAATTATGTAGATTATATTATTGGTCATTTGTACATGTAATAAGCGCGCTATTTTAATGACATAATAAGAATAAGCGCCACTTACCTCAGCTATGAATTTTAAAGTCTGTTCATATTCTTAGTATTTTTTTAAAACAGCTTCCACAGCAGCAGAAACCAACACAACAGCAGAAACCACAAGTACAACAGAAGACCCTGACAGCACAACAGGTATTATTTTGTTTACATGTATGGATTGAATATCAATAAAATCTTTGATGACCAGGAGGATTAACATAATTATTAAGATTAGGTTAAAATTTTCTCTTTACTCTTCATATACCAGTAATATTTAACTGCACCTGCACCAAGATTTTGCTACTTTGCAAAATGTTAATTTCGGGACCCACAACATGCGATGTAAGCATCATGAAGTGACTTTTTATATTGCTTTTCATTCCAATTTAATATCACAATATCAATTGGAAAAAAACAACGAACTCAATTTCAGAAATGCTTACTAAAACAACAGAGCAACCATCATCAACCACAGCTAATACACCAACAACAGACACAACAGAGCTGTCTACATTGAACACAACAGAAACACAAACAACAGTCGGTGTTGATCCAGCTTTATTAACCACATCCGAACTGTCAACAACAGACACAACAGAACCTCCTTCATCAATCTCACCTGAACAAACTACTGAAAATTCCACAGAAACTCCCTTATCAACCACACCTGAACAGCCAACGACAAACACAACAGAACACGCTACAGAACCAACAACTTTATCTTTGGAATCATCTACAGTAGTAACTATTACAGGTAACCGTTGTCCATTATATCAGTTACAAATGTAAATAAAATGTAATTTATGCAGAGTTAAAATTATGTAGCGATGTATTTACACTTAAAATCTTACTTAAGTTTTATGCACTTCATTTGAGAGTAATTGCAAGATAATTCTACATATCTTGATTTTTAATGCTGTATATAGATAGAGTCATAATTTATGTATTACGTGAATGGGGAAGACCAGTCCATACCAATAAATTACTCTTTAATTAGCGGAACACTAACAAAGATTTGTGTAGCTAAATATTTACAATGATTAAAAACAAGAAGTTACGTGATTAGTTTTTATGTAAAAGCTACATTTTTCAGATCCAAATGAAATGACATTTTATGGGAGTGTTAACATGGGTACTTTGTGTAATCAATCCAATGAAACAACCGACAGAAATAAAATGCATGCGGCGGTAACTATTAATATTTTTTCCTGATCTGAAACCTCTGATGATTACAGAATATGTCTTACTTGTTACTTGCATGTACATGTAAAATCTCTTTAGGAATATTGTAAAATCATCACTTCATTTTTAGCTGACTGAAATCTTCAATTCTACACCAGGATTTAAAAGATTGGAGGTATCTGTTGCAATGTAAGTGTAGGTTTTACCAAGAAATTAGAAACTTTTAAGAGCAGAGACGTGAATGCTACAATAAGTACGTGTGTTTATTTGTAAACGTGAGAATTGAACGTAGAATTATCTAAACTCATAGAATTTATCATTTAAACAGAAAAAAGGTAGTAGCATTTAGTTTTATTTCATGATACACTATTTTGAGCCGTGTAATATAAGTCAGTTATTATTCAGTAGTGTTGTAGTGGTTATGTTGTTGTTTCAGCTAGAGCCAAACGAAGAATAAGGTGTACACTTGTTATACTAAAAATAATTTGGAATAGAAAAATGAACTCATGTTTTGATTAAATAAAACTTTGATCTCCCTTATCGAGTATTTACTATCCACGAACATGTATTATTCAAGAACCCTTGTCGAGGATATACATGTATGGTAGTAAACTCTCAATATTTCACTCTCGAGATTATATACTGGGTACAAATGTATTTTTTAAACTATAAGTATTATAGATAACGAAGTTTCAGACATCGGTTGTAGTAGACAAATTAGCAAAATTAAAAGATTAAATACATAGGGCTGTTAGAAAAGTGTGCGGACAATTTGTATTGTGAGTGCTCTATTCGCATGAATTTAACAAAATTCAGATATAAAATACAAATAAAAATACAAATATTTCATGTTCGCCGGTGATTTAAAAAATATAAATAAACAGCTATATTAATATGATAAAATATGCTTCACAGAGCAAGTCACTTCCCTAACATTTTCATTATATAGATAATGTTGTGAATCACCAATTGCACTGTTCTAGCGTATGAAGATTTAAATATTTCATCTGTTGCTACAATATTTATGAAACGTCATTTAATGAAATTTTGATTTAAATTGGCATCGAGAATGGCAACGTCATTGAACGTCTTGGAGCACCGAGTTGTTTAAAAATGATGTGTGCGGGCAGAAAAATGCCCAAAAGAGACTGAAAAGGTATAAGATGTTGCTTGTGATTTCCTACACATATCTGGGACCAAAGTGTTCAAATCCCAACAGAATTTTTTAAGACAGAAGGATTGGCACTTTTGTTGATCAATTGTCACGATGCCCCTCTTATTATATCGCCTAGGTATTGCTTCCGCATGGATTTTGCACTTTTTTTTCATCTCTGCGTAGACGGTGATTTTAGGATATAACTGATATCTGATATGCCACAAAAGACATATAACCAAAAAAGTAATATATCTTGATTAAAGTAATACATTTCTAAACGGGAAAAAGACACGACAAGACCATAGAACTATTGTGAAAAGGATTTACAGGTTTTGAATCAGGTTTTCATGTTACCAAACGTCAAGGTAAAGGTGACAACATCATAGAATGGAGTGAGAAAAAAAAACCCTGAAAATAATTGTTTGATCAAATGATTTAATAATTAAATGATACGAACTCATTAAGCAGTTCATGCAATCTTACTTAATTGTTTACATTTACTTAGGTCCTAGCTAAATGCAATGAGAGAAGCAGGGTTAAATAAGCATTACAATCGGATTAATTTGGAATTTTAAAAAATGTACTTTAGTGGGTATGAGAAAAAGAAATAATGTCTGGCTCTTTTATAGAATAGATTTAGAAGGGGAGGGGGTATTATCAGTGGAAGATGAGAGCTGAAAAAGATCTTTGATTAGCTCCGAGGAAAAGAGAATTCTTATAACTTCAAATTTTGTTTTAAGGTTGGAGTGAGGGACCAGCATTTCAATGAATATTTTTAGTCTAAATTAAAAGTTAAAATTTATGTTCAGAAAAAATATTGTTTGGGGGGAGGTTCCCTGCACATAATCTCAACCCCCCACAACCACCCCAACCCAAATTATAAATTCCCTCATGTGATGTTCACTTGAGTGGAAGCAGGTAGCAAGTGAAATAGCTTTTCAAAACTATTTGTATCATTTTGGAATTTTCCGATCTATTTTTAGACCAATGTAGAGAAAATAAATCCTTATATTCCCCTGAAAGGTCATGTGCAGGTGAATATAACGTTGATTTTTTTTCAACATTGTTGGATCTCAGCCAATCAGAGAGATAGTAATCATTCAATCATATAATAAAATATTATATTATATTATATTATATTATATTATATTATATTATATTATATTATATTATATTATATTATATTATATTATATTATATTATATTTTATTATATTATATTATATTATCTCTAGTATGTATTAAATCAATGCATTAATAAATCATTTTTTATCTCAGAAAATAAAAAAAAAATTGTTTGCATGTTTTGACAGATGCCCAAACACCTTTACCTTAGTCATTAATAGAACGTTAAGTGAAGAGGCCCAAAGCAACTTTTCTATGTCAATTCATATGATGTTAACTCAGCAAATGTACATAACATTCGAAGGACAGCAATACTCAGTGGATGAAGTTACCACAACAGATTACAATAAACAAGCAGCAAGTGAGCAAATATTTAAACCATATAACAATAAATAATAGCTCTAATCAACATATGTCAATTCAAATAGAGTAAGAAATGTGTTTGATATACGACAAAAATATTGTTTTGATTAATAGTATTTACAAATACATCTGAACCCTGTGATGTTTTCTTGGCCATAAAACCTTGCCCGACTGGAAATTGTATTCAGATTGGAAATGTCCTGGAATGCAGGTAAAATATACAACTTAAATTTTCATTCTGAGATTATATATCGCCCTTCTTTTTAAAAATATATCAAAATATGTCCGACAGGCAAACAAATATAATGCAATGAAAATTTCATCCAGGAACGTGACAGCAACAACAGACACACCAGAATCGCCGTCATCAACTACATCTGAACAGTCTACAACAAACGCTACAGAACCTGCTTTATCTACTGCACCTGAACAGTCTACAACAAACGCTACAGAACCTGCTTTATCTACTGCACCTGAACAGTCTTCAACAAACGCTACAGAGTCTGCATTATTAACCACACCTGAACAGTCTTCAACAAACGCTACAGAGTCTGCATTATTAACCACACCGGAACAGTCTTCAACAAACGCTACAGAGTCTGCATTATTAACCACACCGGAACAGTCTTCAACAAACGCTACAGAGTCTGCATTATTAACCACAACGGAACAGCCTACAACAAACGCTACAGAATCTGATTTATTAACCACACCAGAACAACCCACAGTAAACACTTCAGAAACTGTATTATCAACAACTGAACAGTCTACAACAAACCATTCAGAACCATCTTCATTAACCACACCAGAACAGCCTACAACAAACGTTTCAGAACTTTTTTTATCAACAACACCTGAACAGTCTACAACAAACGCTTCAGAATCATCTTCAATAACTACACCAGAACAGCCTACAACAAACGTTACTGAATCTGATTTATTAACCACACCAGAACAACCCACAGTAAACACTTCAGAAGCTTTATTATCAACAACTGAACAGTCTACAAATAACCATTCAGAACCATTTTCATTAACCACACCAGAACAGCCTACAACAAACGTTTCAGAACTTGTTTTATCAACAACACCTGAACAGTCTACAACAAACGCTTCAGAATCATCTTCAATAACTACACCAGAACAGCCTACAACAAACGTTACTGAATCTCTTTCATCAATCACACCTGAACAGCTTACAACAAACACTACAGAGCCTGCTTTATCAGCCACATCAGAACAGCCTACAACAAACGCAACAGAACCATCTTCACCAACAACACCAGAACAGACTACAATAAACGCTACTGAATCTCTTTCATCAACCACACCAGAACAGCTTACAACAAACGCTACAACATCAGAACAGACTACAAAAAACGCTACAGAACCATCTTCACCAACCACTCCAGAACAGCTTACAGCAAACGCTACAGAACCACCTTCATCAACCACACCAGAACAGCCTATAACAAACGCTACAGAGCATTTTTTATCAACAATACCAGAACAGTCTACACTTAACGCTACAGAACCATTTTCATTAACCACACCTGAACAGCTGACAACAAATGCTACAGAACCAGCGTTATCAACTACACCAGAACAACCCACAACAAACAACACAGAACCTGCTTCATCAACAATACCTGAACCATCTTCAATGAACACTACAGAACCACCTTCAACAACCTCACCAGAACAGTCTACAACAAACGCTACAGAACCCCCTTCTTCAACCACACCAGGACAGGCTACAACAAAAACTACAGAACCTTCTTTATCAACCTCACCAGAAAAGCCTACAACAAACGCCACAGAACCTTCTTTATCAACCACACCAGAACAGTCTACAATAAACATGACAGAACCTCCTTCATCAACCACACCAGAACAGCCTACAACAAACGCTACAGAGCGATCTTCATCAACCACACCAACACAGCCTAAAACAAATATGACAGAACCTCCTTCATCAACCACACCAGAACAGCCTTCAACAAACGCTACAGAACCATCTTCATCAACCACAACAACACAGCCTACAACAAACATAACAGAACCTCCTTCATCAACTACACCAGAACAGCCTACGACAAACGCTACAGAATTTTCTTCATCAACCACACCAGAACAGCCTACAACAAACGCTACAGAGCCATCTTCATCAACCACACCAACACAGCCTAAAACAAACATGACAGAACCTCCTTCATCAACCACACCAGAACAGCCTACAATAAACGCTACAGAACCATCTTCATCAACCACACCAACACAGCCTACAACAAACATAACAGAACCTCCTTCATCAACTACACCAGAACAGCCTACGACAAACGCTACAGAATTTTCTTCATCAACCACACCAGAACAGCCTACAACAAACGCTTCAGAGCCATCTTCATCAACCACACCAACACAGCCTACAACAAACTTGACAGAATCTCCTTCATCAACCACACCAGAACAGCCTACAATAAACGCTACAGAACCTGCTTCATCAACCACACCTTACCAGCCTAAGACAAACACTTCAGAAGCATCTTCATTAACCACACCTGAAACCCTAACAGTAAATTCTACACAATCTCTTTCACCGACCACACCACAACAGCCTACAACGAACACCACAGAATCGCCTTCATCAGTCACACCTGAACCGCCCGCGACAAACACTACAGAATCCTCTACATCAGGATATACGACAGGTACATGTAGGTTTAAACATTAATCACAAATCCCGATAATCCCGATTCCGATATTTCATCAGTTAGAATTAAATAAATTGAAATGTACATTTTGTAGATCAAAATGAGAAGGAAGATAATACTAACTGTATTGATCTTTTATATCTTTTATCTTTTAATCTTCATTCTTGAAATTTAATTTAAAAAGTATTACATGCCTTGATGGTGATAATATAAATATTCTACAGAAGTTCAACAGCTTAGAAATTTTAAAATCATGTAATGGATTAAGGGAGTGAGGAGAGACTAATTTATTAAGATCTTTGATCTGACCATTACTCACTCATTCGCCTTTAGAATCTAATATCTTTTGAATTAACGTGTATAAAAGGTTTTTAATATTTGATTGAACTGGTATTTTAACTAGAAGATTGTAAAAAAAAAAAAAAAAAAAAAACATTGCTTGATCATTTTAAAAGTTAAAGCTTCATTTTCAGATCCAAATGAAATGACATTTTCTGGAAGTGTATACATTAATGCTTTGTGTGATCAATCGAATGGATCAACCACCAGAACTAAAATGCATGCAGCGGTAGCTATCTACAAATTTTAATTCTGATGTAAAACCTATATTGATCATAAAAAATATTTCTTACATTTATTTCACATGTAAGAAAATTACTCTTAACTTGCTAAAAGTATGTCTTTAATTTTAGCTGACGGAAATTTTCAGTTCTACACCAGGTTTTAAAAGATTGGAGGTATCTGTCGCAATGTAAGTATAGGACAAGAAATGTAGAAGCTCTTAAGAGCATAGAAGTAAATGCTTCCGATATTTGTAAACGTGAGAATTGAACGTTGAATTATCTTAACTCATAGAAATGATCATTTAAACTAAAGAAAGACAGTTTTATTTCACGATAAACTATTTTTAGCAGTGAAATATTAGTTATTGTTCAGAGTGTTATGATGTTAATATTGTTGTTACAGCTAGAGTCAGATGATAGAATAAGGTGTTTAATTGCTATACTAAAAATAATTTGGAATAGAAAAATAAACACTAATGTTATGCTTTGATTGAGTAAAACTTTGATCTCACTTACTGAACATTTACTATCCATGATTATGCATTACCCAAGAGCCCTTGACGAGGAGATACAGTAGTAAACTATCTATATTTCATTCTCGAGATCATATACAGGGTACATATGTATTTTTTAAACTATAAGTATTATAAATAACGACCTTTCAGACATCGGTTGTAGTGGACAAAGTAGAAAAATTAAAAGACTGAATATAGGGCTGTTAGAAAATGTAAGAATGTAGAGTTTTACAAGACATTAAAAGTTCCTTAGAAGAGAGAGTTGAATGCTCAAAACTAACCCGGGGAAAATAAGTTCTGTTATGTGAAATCATCTCTTGGCCATGAAAAGTGCTGCTAGAATTCTACTTTCCTGTCACAGAAATAATTATTCTACACTTTTGCATGAAACTTTTCCAAAGTGTTTAAACAATCGTTTAAACAATTAAAGAATTTTCACCATTTCATGTAAACCACACGATTCTATATGTAGCTGCACTTTTCCAAGTATTGTAGAATATAAGCTTTCAGTATGGGCAAAAACTATACTTCAAAGTATGCGGCGTAATGTTTAACTTTTGTATCTTTCATGTTAAGTACAACATAGGAAATGCTGACTAGGACTTACTGATAAAAACACTGCCTGTCTTCATTATAAAACAAAACGAAGAAAATAAATCTGCGAACCTGATTAATAACCCTTAATTTTTTATGAGGCACACAGTATATGCTTTTTAACTCCCATTAACTTCAGCAGTTCTTCAACATCACATTTCAGTCCTTTACTTTTTTAACATTCTCGTCAATGAAGGTACGTTAAATCTACCCTACTTATAATGGATCAATTTCATAAAAATCCTTACAGATATAATTTACCCCTCACAAAAAGATTAACTGCAGTAAAGGAGAAACTTAAGACGTATTGTTTTTAACTATATTCTAAACTTTATTCTAGAAGTGGTGTAAATCAATGTGGATTCTCAAAACCTCCGAAAAACTTTTAGAAAATTAAAAATCACAATATCTTTTTTTCAAAAGCTAGCAACATCAAAACGTATCACTTTTTGACACTTTACACAGTTACATGTAACTCATGAGTTCTCGTTTTGAATAATTTTCACTTGGCAAATATTTAACCATAAGTTAGATATTTAACTCCGTGACAAATACTTCGTTAATTATAACATCCAAAATATACAAGATTAAGTTTATATTAGGTTTTGCATGTTTCCATTCATTTCTAGGGTTTGAATTAATTCTCTAAAATATAAATATTAAGAAATCTTTATCTTTAAAGTTCACATCATATAGCTAGCTATGACGTCATATTGTATAGTGTATATATATTTTTAACAAAGTAATTTTGTTAGTGATCAATCAAAATATGAAAATTTCAGAGATTCATTTTTGTTGAAGAAGCTGTTGTCCATTATATAAAAAAACCCCTTTTTTTAATTAAGTGTGAAAAATTGTTGTGTAAAGTGTCAAAAAGTGATACGTTTTGATGTTGCTAGCTTTTGAAAAAAAGATATTGTGATTTTTAATTTTCTAAAAGTTTTTCGGAGGTTTTGAGAATCCACATTGATTTACACCACTTCTAGAATAAAGTTTAGAATATAGTTAAAAACAATACGTCTTAAGTTTCTCCTTTACTGCAGTTAATCTTTTTGTGAGGGGTAAATTATATCTGTAAGGATTTTTATGAAATTGATCCATTATAAGTAGGGTAGATTTAACGTACCTTCATTGACGAGAATGTTAAAAAAGTAAAGGACTGAAATGTGATGTTGAAGAACTGCTGAAGTTAATATTTGTTATTATTTCATGATACACTATTATATCATTGATCAACAGTGTAATGACGGCTTTGTTGTTTTTACAAAGAAAAACTAAAGTAGATCAAGTTTTTTATTCGATAAAACAACTTTACTCTGATGAAGGGATTTATTCTTCCATATTTTGTTATTTGATAAAACGTAAATTATATTCCTTAGTATTTACTACCCATCAGTAGCCTTGAGTATGATTTATAAAACTCAATATTTAAACCATGAAATCCTATTATCGGTACATATGATTTATTTTTGTACTAGTATAATTGACTTTCACTTACATGTACATTGTATCCGTTATAGTAGACGAAAAAGCAAAATTTAAAGAATGAAAATTTTTATGCAATACAAAGAAATACTTTTGTTACTAGAATCAATCACAAAAATGATACTTCACTTGTTTTTCTTATGCCAGTACAGTGTTTGCACATATATTTTGACAGATGTCCTAACATCAACACCAGCTTTATCATAGTCGTAGATAAAACATTCGGTAAAGAAGCCAAAAGCAATATTTCTCTTACAATTCATGTGATGTTAAATCAACAACTGAACATAACATTTGATGGGCTTCAGTATACAGTAGATGAAGTGACCGTAACAGATTATAATGGACAAACAGCAAGTGAGCAAATATTAAGAGTTGAAGTTATTAAACCTCTACAGTAATTAAGAGTTCTAATCCTTTTTGTAATTTTTTACAGTGCAAGAAACGTTTGTCTGATATCTGATATGGCTTCATGTAATGAAAGCATTTAATCTAAAAACTATTTCTTGATTATTAGAATTTACAAGTACATCTTATCCCTGCGAGATTTTTACCGCCATAGAACCATGTGCTAATGGAGACTGCACTCAGGTTGGAAATGATCTAAAATGCATGTAAGAAAAAAAATATTTCTTGAGATAATACTGACCTGTTATTTTTTGTAATTGATTGTTTAAGAGTAAAGACTGTCTCGTAAGCTACTTTATATGAAATAAAATCTGTATCATATAGGAATGTGACAGCAACCACAGATATGACAACTTCTTCAGAATTTATTACGACAACTGAACCACCAATGACAACATATACGGAACCACCTTCAACAACTACATTAAATGATTCATCCATATCTACAGAACCATCTACAACAATTACATTTGATAATGCAACCTCATCTACAGTAACACCTACTCAAATTACAGCTGATGATAATGCAACTTCATCTACAGTAGCACCTACTAAAATTACAGTTGAGGATAATGCAACTATATCTACAAGAGCACCTTCACCAATTACAACTGATAATTTAACCACATCTACAGAACCACCTACACCAATTACAACTAGTTCAACCACATTTGCAGAACTGCCTACAACAATTACAGCTGATAACGCAACCATATCTACTGAACTACCAACAACGGCTACAGCAGACGGTTCAACCATATCTACAGAGCCATCTACATCTACTACAATAGATGTTGCAACATCGTCTACAGAACCACGAATAACGACCATATTTGATACAGTACCATCCACAACAATTACCTTTGATACAAAACCATCTACAGAATCAACGTCGACAACTACAACTTATAATATAACAACTTCTACAAAATCACCTTCGACATCTTCAACATTTGTTTCAATTACGTCTTCAGAACCACTAACAACAACTGTAGCAGATGGTTTAACGACATCTACAGAATTACTTTCGACAACTTTATCATATGATTCAACCACATCTTCAGAACAATCTACAACTAGTGCATATAATTTAACATCTACAGAATCACTTATATCAACAGCAGAAGATGGTTCTACTACAGAATCACCAACGACAACTATTGGTAAATATTTCTCATAATCACCAGCTAGTTATTTATGTTAGGAAAATATATATCTTAAATCATATTTTTGCAGGAGATACAGATTCAAGAAGTATTTCTCTTAGATAAAGTCATCTTCGCTAGCCAAGGGTTTTTGATCCGCTACTCTCCTCACAAACCCTTGGCATACGGTGCTGTCAAAACTTGGGATTGTTTACGACACGTGATCTCGAATCCTCCAACATACGCACGAATTGCGTCATCGACAAAAATTAAAGGCGTATTTGAAAATTTAAGTTTTTAAAGAATAATTAAAAAGAAGATATCGAGCAATGTTTATTTGTTATTTATCGTGCAAATCTACATCTCTAATAAGATTCCTGGTCACAATATTTGTACATGAGCTTAAGATTGGATGACACCATATCTATTTATAGAGTGGCATGTTATCTCACGAATCGTTGTTTACTTGAGTTTTTCATTCCCGAGACTAAAGAATCAAAATATATCCCGAAGGCAAATATCATCATTTACAAAATCAATTGCTGATTGGTCGAATCATGTCGATCAACTCCAATCACAACTCGAGAAAAAAAAACAACTTTTAATAGCACCATATGCCAAGGGTTCGTGAGGAGAGTAGCGGATCAGAAACCCTTGGCTAGCGAAGATGAGATAAAGCGATAATGATTAATATCACCTCATGCGGATCTTTTCTATTATTTAGTCTAAGAAAAAGTGTATAATGAAATGAACGCTCATTTTATTTGAGAAAAAATTCAGACCTTTCCTATATATATAAACTCTTAACATTTATTTCTCATGCAAGATTGTAGTAAAGCCTAATTCAAAATTTGAATTATCATAGACTAACATTTTATCTGCCTCTTTTATCAGCACTGCCTAAAAATTATGTCAATCTTTTCTTCCTAAAATTTAGTTGTCTAATTTATTTTTCAGACTGTTCGTCTTTTTTATAAAAGTTAATACACTGTTTTCTTTTTGTTTTCAAATATTTTTCTAAATAAGTGTATTTCAATTTAACACATGTAGAATGCAATAAAATAATTTTTTTGCAAACCATATCACAATTTATATGAAAAGAAATTAACTATTCAGTGTTATGAATATTAAGCATATGTCACCAAATGATATAAGCTTTGTGCAAGCGAGTCCTACAAAATACATTTTTTTTTTGTTTTCGTAGGGCTTCCATAGAAAGTTCAGTGATAGTCATGATAAAAAACGTACAAAAATTGCACGTACCAACTCTCATTTAAAATTCTCTTATACTGTATGTTCTTGGAAATCAAACATTCAAACAAAAGTAAATAATATAAGAGCATTTAATTTAAAAAACCTGCATAAGAAAAGTTTAATAAATAGAGAATATTACATACTAAAATCCATATCATATGTCATATCAACCCGAGGGGGCCCATATCAGCCCGAGGGCCGAAGGCCCGAGAGCTGATATGGGGCTCGAGGGCTGATATGACATATGATATGGATTTCAGTATGTAGTATTCTATGTATCATATAATTATGACCTTTTATTTAAAAATCTAATAAAGCAAATTTTAGGTCTTTGAAAACAAAGTCCACAGATAGTAGCAAAGAATTATTTTAGATGTATATTTAAATAAAAACAAGTTAATTAACTTTTAAACTTTAAATAAACGTTACTTCCGGTTTGATATGGATTTTTGCCCGCCGGTCCGATACGTGATATTGATTTTCGGACCGGTCCTTGATATGGGGTATTGTGACGTCACCCGTATCGTACAGTGCAGAATCGGTGTATTTACTACTTAGTATATGATACAGCAATAAATCACAGAAATCATTTATTCATTGGTTTTAGTCTTTAATTAGGAATGAATTTAATAGCTAACCAATTTATACGGTATAAAGTTTGTTGTGTCAGTTTACGTTTAATAAACCGAGAAGCGGTTTATAAAAAAGCGTTAACTGTTCCAACCCATTTTATACCGTATAAATTGTGTAGCTATTAATTTCATTTCTTATAATTTAATTTTTATTCATTTAGTGTAAGAAAAAAGATGATTGCCCTTAAAAATGACTTCAGATTGTACAAAATCTAATTGTAACGTCAGGTAGATTGATACGTTTTTGACGCAAGTCATTGTGACGTAGGCAACCAAATTTATACAATATAAAGTAATTTTTTATCCAATCAAAACAATCAGAACTAAATTATAAAAAAAAAATAAAACAGGGTCACCGACAACTTCTACAACAGAGTCACTGACAACATCCACAACAGAGTCACCGACAACATCCACAACAGAGTCACCGACAACATCCACAACAGAGTCACTAACAGCAACCACAACAGAGTCAGCGACAACATCATCAACAGAGTCAGCGACAGCATCCACAACACAGTCACCAGCAACTTCCACAACAGAGTCATCGACAACATCCATTACAGAGTCATCGACAACATCCACAACAGAGTCACCTACTTCCACAACAGAGTCACCGACAACATCCTCAACAGAGTCATCAACAACATCCACAACAGAGTCATCGACAACATCCACAACAGAGTCATCGACAACATCCACAACAGAGTCACCAAGAACATCCACAACAGAGTCACCTACTTCCACAACAGAGTCACCTACTTCCACAACAGAGTCATCGACAACATCCACAACAGAGTCATCGACAACATCCACAACAGAGTCACCAACAACATCCACAACAGAGTCACCTACTTCCACAACAGAGTCACCTACTTCCACAACAGAGTCATCGACAACATCCACAACAGAGTCATCGACAACATCCTCAACAGAGTCATCGACAACATCCTCAACAGAGTCATTGACGACATCCACAACAGAAATTGAAACAACAACCACAACAGAATTGTCCACAACACCTACAACACAGCTGCCAACTACTACAACCACCTCCACCACGCAGCCGCCTACCACCACCCCCACCACGCAGCCACCTACTACCACAACCACTCAAACTGTAACAACAACAACAACAACTCAAACACCACCAACAAGAGAGCCTGCCGTCAATGGTATTCTTTTTTTAGTTCCATAGGACTTTCAATAAATATAGATTAAATTCACATCGGTCATTTGTCGCCCGCGTGACGCAGTGGTTAGAGCGTCTGCTCTAGAGTCGCGAAGTAAGGAGTTGATCCTTACGTCGCGGTTTCGAATCCCACTGTGGGACGTGGAGACAGGTCCTTCGGATGAGACCGTATAAACCGAGGTCCCGTGTCGCAGTAGGTGCTGGCACGAAAAAGATCCCTCACTGCTCAATGGCCGTAAGTGCCGAGTATAGGACAAAGTTTGCAGCTCTCCACCGGCAGGTGGTGGCGTCTCCATATGAGTGAAAAATTCTCGAGAGGGACGTAAAACAACATACAATCAATCGATCAATCATCGGTCATTTTATTTTATTATTTAGGGGGGATCTTAGTTCTTACAAGAAAAAATACATGTATCTAATAGGGTTTCTTATTTTTTTAAGCTTAACGCTCTTATGTATATATATATATATATATATATATATATATATATATATATATATATATATATATATATATATATATATATATATATATATATATATATATATATATATATATATATATATATAAATTTACTGTTTAAAAAAGGCATCTAAAAATCTCAGACGAGGTATTAATTGATGCTAGTAAAATGATGATGATAAATATACATGAAAAATTCTTTTTGTACATACCACATGAACAATGAGAGAATTCTGAGAACAGATTACTCAGAGAGCAATCCTATGTTATTACAGAACCTCTTCCTTTTGGTTCCACTGAAGACTTTTCAATCACTGGAGATGATGTAACATCTGAACGTCTAACATCTCCTATGACATTACAAATTGGTGACGGGACAACTAGTGGATTCAATTATGTTGTTGTAAGTTACTTCAAATCAAAAACATTACACGGATCTTGAAATCATTTGTAAACTGTATACTTTAAATTTTGTGTGCTTTGGATATTTTGCATAGTTATTCGTGACAAATTAATGCTATACAAAGTTATCACCCTTTAATAGATTTTTCAAGGGTCATTTTGTCCGATCTAGAAGTCCAAACTTGCTAAAACGTCAGAGTCGACATTTTCAGCAACGGTAGAGGACAATTTGCTGTAATGTTTTGTTTTAAATTATCCGAAAATGTCCAGTATGGAAGCTCAGTAGGGGGTCGAAATTTAGGAAATGAATCATGAGTTTAATTTTATGCATTTTTATCTCATCTTTTTATCCATGACTATTTTGTTAAAACATATTGAAAAAAAATTGTGCAGAATAAGAAGATCTCTAACATGATTTCAAGGGACCCAAAAGGGCAGAAAGTAATTCATCTGTAATTAAATCTTTGACATTTAATATTTTGTTAAAAATAACTGAATCAAAAAATTTTCATCTTAACAATGTGCAACTATTGTAAGGAACTATTATGTCACAACACACGAGTTCGCGTAATTATTGGATGGCAAATGCTCATATCAAAAGATTTTTGTCTCCGTTGGTCTCGGCTAGAAATACGTCTTATGTTTAGGTTGTGCTGCATGGTCATACCATTGCTTACAAACACATTGTCATATGAAAAGATGGCCTCTAAATATTTCTATTCTATATATCTCGAAAACGGAAAGAAACTTCTGAGTAGATGTTGAACAAAAAGTGTTCAAAATCACAGGACCTGTCATTTGACATTAAGAAAAATGGACTGACCCCTCAAGCAAGGGGTCCAGAGGGACCAAAAGGCTTTAATCTATAGCTCTATAGCAATCAAGTTCAGAAGACTGTTCGCAAAACACCGGAATGTACAGTTTTCAAAGGAAGCATTTTTAAAAATCATTATTTATGAACAAATATTCTCGTAATATCTCATTTTATAAAAAATCGGTCAGAAGACCCACTCGTTACTCAAAACTAGATCTCATCTACTTACTCTTTAAAAATTCTCGGAGTTGATTCTCGGATAACCGGTATCTCGGAGATGATTCGATCGATTTCAAATGTTCATGGTTAATGTAGTACAAACTGAAATTTGTACCGACATTTCAATTTTTGCAAATTCACTTCCGGTCGAAAGTTATCTCCTTTTTTATCGATTTTCAGATGACTTTTTTTTTGTCTGCTCAAAAACTCTAAAACGGATAAGTTAGAATGCTGCAATATTCAGCAACGATGGGAGGCATTGTGTTGATGTGCACATCGCTATCGTCACGGTTAACAGGTTCCATTTCCTGTTTACAGATTTTTCGTTTTCTTAGTGACACTTTAAACGCATAAGGTTCGGCATTCGACCTGCTATCGACAAAATCCGTGAAAGCAGTCTTCACCCATCTGTACTTATAAATTAATAAATTTTGCATATAAACTCTGAAACGGCTGCACCAGAGTTCTTACTTACTCTGAAACGGCTGCACCAGAGTTCTTCCAGAACATAATATAGCATTGAGCCCGATGTTAAAAAGAAAAACGAAGTGATTATAGCTGCATGAGCATAATAAAAGCTTTGTGTGGATTTTCATTGAAATAATGGTAAATCATTGATAACACTATAAGTTGTGAATACATTTATGTATCGAAAAACTATTAGTAGGTTTTCCTAATAAATTTATCGGTAAATGTAGTTTGTATATTCCTCACTGCATGAGAGGATGGGGGCAACGAACCCGAAGTCTTAATAATTTTGCTTACATGAAAAGAGAAAAATAATGAATAAGGTATTGTTCAAAAGCAATTAAAGCTGTTAAAATTTTGTGCTTTAAGCAATACATTTCAGTTTTTTTTCTGAATACAGTCTTTTGTATCAAATACTCGGCCAATTCATAGGGCGTTAAAAGCTTAAAAAAAAAATCAATTTATCACTAAAATGTGCATATTCGCTGCTTTTATCCTTGACGAAAATAATATAAGAGCGCCTGAAGTACAATATCAATAACATAGTATAACAGGTTTCACAATAAACGTTGATAAATGAAATTGTTATTTTTTTTTTTGGGGGGGGGGGGGGAGGAGAGAGACGTACATCTATTTCTGCTTCAAAATTCAAAACTTAATGCGGGATTTTGAACAAAGTATTTTTTTCCTGCTATAAGCCCGTAGGTTGTCGGTAAAAACTACAATGTATATTACTGGAATTTTTCTGTCGGTAGTGGTATGAATTCAATTCCCTGCACTTGAGCGGAATTTCATATAGTATCATATAAGTTTCAGTACAGTGTAAAATTTTGGAAATACTGAGTAGTTCACCATTTAGAGATTGCAGTGAATGATATTAAGATAAATCTTAAGCTCAGTCTCGAATATTGAATGTAGAATAGAATCTTATATCATTCTTTAAATTAGAAAAAAATTTAATACGTTTGAAGTATAAAATCGAAATCGCACTTTTTATTACACCTACAAAAAGACTAGACAATAAATAAAATGAATATCTATTATTACTTTTCACTCACTATAATTTTACTTTATTTTAGATCGGTACAAACGGCATTATTGGGCTTGGAGAAAGATACAACAGTTTTTCAATTGAAGATCTCAATCGTTTAGAAACATTTAATCGAAGAATTATCTGTCCATTTTGGGTAGACTTAGTAGCTGAGGGAGGATTAAATTCTGCTGTATACTACAACGTGTATAAAAGGTATGTTTTCATAGAAAATATTTTTTGTTCTTTGACAAGTATTTTATTTCACGAGTGGGACGGGAGTTTTTAAAAAAAAAAAACAAAAAACAACGACATATTTTAAGAGCGCAAAGTATCAGTGAATATATGTTAAAAAATCCTGTCTTATGAATGAAATTAATTCTATATTCTACTATAAAACATTGAATTTTCTGTTAATGATATATGTTTTTAATTTTAATGATATATCTTATATTCTACTGCTGTAAAGCAGGGCTGTAAAATATGTGGAGAATGTTTTCATTTTTCCAAAACATTTTCTGAGATGCTGATGAATAACTTGGGAACGATTATGCCGAAATTATCCTTCTTATTATAAGATAGTACATATTAAGCAGGGTTCAAATACTGGGAACAAATCAAAACCATTCTCTTGAACAATATACAGCAATAATAAACTACACTAGTATTAATTCTTTAAGAACTGTGAAATTAATTAGATTTATGAAATTTGTTGACAGTTTGACTATTTGGATGGCCTTTTCAATAATTTTACTTGGTCATTTGTTTACCCCCCCCCCCCCCCCCCCGCAAAAAATAGACTTTAAGCAATCACGCAGTACTTACATATTGCAAAAAAGCGGGTTACCCCAATGTTTTGTCCTTGCAAAAACATTTGTTTATGCAAATGTTTTATCATATGTATTATATATGAGAGAAATTCATAGCTTTCTTGATTTTATTTTGATCCTCGACCATTTCGAAAAATAATAAATTATGAATCCATTTACTGCAGGTTTCTCGTGAATGGAAAGGCATATAGTTATGGTTATTAAATATTCTAGTTTATGGAATAGACAATCGAAATAAATGAAAATTCTAAGAAATTCAAACACATACCAAAATTAGAAAGTAATGGTTGTCTTATGGTAAAAGGTAAGGAATATCAGTTATGAATAATTATTCATATTTATAGTAAATTCTTTTATTGGCAGGGAAAAACATAAATCTGAAATGTTTATGTTGAGCCTTTCTAATTATAGGGAGAATCAGAATGATGCAGCAATATTAAACAGAGTTGATAAAATAATCCAGACGTTCTTTGACGATTTTAAAAGTTTCAAATCCTCCATCGTCTACAAAGTAACGTGGTATAATATGACGTTTTTCACGGACAGAACAAAGGTACTGTAAAATTTTAAACACTACCCTTTGAATTGTATATATACATGTACAAGTAATGTATCAATGGTACATTGTAATAAAATAATCGAATGAACTGTACGTCGTATTTTTATTAATTTATATACTCTTCAAAACAACATAAATTGTATTTTTACCGTAAAAAAATATCAAAATTCTCTCGAAATCTTAATGAAAGCTATATACAACAGAGACAAAAAAAAAAAAAAAAAAAAAAAAAAAAAGGGGGGGGGGTGCATTTGATTGCCATTCGCCAGGAATCTGGGCACACTTGAGAATTTCATTGATCTGTCAAATGAAGTTTTCGCATGCTTTTGTTCCTGTGAAATAGGAAGGGAAAATGTTTTCTATGGAACGCTTCAGCTGCCTCACGTGGAGAACATTATATGCTGATAGTATGTCCAATACTGAGTTTTGGTTTGCTAAAAAATTTCTTGAAATATAGTTAGATGAGTCATTTGGTACAAAATGATACATTTTTAAACACATTTTTCTAAAACTTATCTATCTCTGGGTTATCTCCACACGATTTTAAAACGTTATTTATGTGCATTTTACTTAATAGAAATGAAAAAAAAATGGAGAGAAGACCCAGACACTATAAGAATTGTTTTTTTCTATATTAAAAAAATATGATAATACCATATTTAAAAAAAAGCGTTGCTTCGATGTCTCTTTAAAGAGGGGTTCTTTGTCTAGCGATGATAGCTCAGTAGTTTGCCGATCCAGAGCACTTGGGGATCAATTTCATAATTTTATGTACTGATTTATTAAAACTTTTAAACAAAATAAAAGTTTGTTGGTTGCAAAAGCAATTCTTCCAACCTGAAACTTAAATATATATATACAAGATCTCACATGAACTGCATTTAAAACCGCATTCCAACATGGTTTTTCTCATTAGCTGAAAGTTTAACTATATGTGATTTATAACTTTATTTTCAGAGAGTGACCTTTCAATCGCTCATTGTTTCTGATGGTCTGGAAACCTTCAGTGTCACAAATTATATTGACGTTAATGTACCTTCCACATTTGGTACTCGTATCTCAATGGGCTACAGATATAGACAATTTGTAGAAAGTAATACATATTCCAATCGACCAGCTTCTTTTCGAATGACAGAAGTCTATGGCAATACAGGTGAGGAAGCTCGATATAAACACTTGATGTGTTGTTTTCTGAGAAAAAAGTTTAACATTCCCCATTATAAAAATCGATTTTTTTTCTCTTTAGGGCAAAAAGGGCTCTGGGTAACTAAACTGACAACAGAGACTACAGTAAATCCTCAGGAAATCGAGTGTTATAACTGGTATGCTGTCCAATCACAGAGATGGATTCCTAATCCATGGTGGTTGACCTGTCCATGTAATGGCTTTGCGTTGAGATTCTTTGGATTCCGATTTACTTATCATCGATATGATAGAGAAAACAACGTTATTTGTTACGTATCTATTACATATGGCCCTTCTTTGGTAAGTATATTGTTTTATATCAAATACAGGGTAATCGAATTACATGTATTTGTCGTTTAAAGTAGATATAACTTTAATATAAAATACAAATTAAATAACTGTGTCTTACTGTGTCTCTGGTATAAGGGAAAATTCACATGCTTACAACTACACAGTGTACTAATTTGTATTCATATGGTTGGAAAAGCTTGCTTCTAAAGTTTTTTTTCGTATCGAAATCTCTTACAAGGATGATTTTACCTAGATCTTTGCTTATTTACATTTGAAAATTAAATGAAACTTTAAATTTTTGACCCCTTCTGTTTTTTTCTTTCTAGATATAAAATATAACTTTGATCAGTCTACATTTAATTCTGTTCAATCAGACTTTTGATGTTATGATTCATTCGGATTTTAATTTTGTTTTTTTTTTTAAGAAAAGGGGATGGTGCATGTTTGTGGAAGTAGATATAGGTGTGCAGAAAGTTCATATTAAATCGTAGCACTAGAAGAAACATATCGACTCTGAATTTATTTTTCTTTTGTTCTTCTAATAAGCCATGTGTGTAGATATTCAGAAAAAAAATAAAATAGAACCTCCTTACGAGATTGTTAAAATATATTATTTCTAGTTCAAAAATAGAATTCCATCTACAAAAAATTTTAAAGATACAAAATAACAGTTTGAATTCTAGTTCATGGACGTTATAAAATACCAGTCATAATTTTTTTTGAAACCATTAAGAAGGTTAAAACTAAAATCAGTCAACATATGTGTTGTTGAATAACTAAATGAAATAGGTGAATATAAGATAATGATCAGTGATATTGATCTCAAAATTAGTCTCCAAAATCTTATTTCATGTATGGGGATGGGGTTAGAGTCTAAGAACATTGGAATTTGGAATATTGGAAACATGGGATTTGAATAGTACAATCTCTTTTCTGCTTGAACTTTCAGAAGGCGTGATAATCTCGGCGATACATAATTAGCGTCTCTCAAATAGTGACCTAGATTCTCATTTGTTAAGAAATTAATAACATTAGCAACTTTAGATTCTTGTTAACAAACAATGAGATGACATACGCCACACCCCTTTACTGTAAGAAACGATGTAATTGGTTCCTTGCGTCACTCGTTGACGTCTGAACCATTTTTATCCCATGTGTATTTCACCCGTGAATGAAAAGCTGTGTAAATTTCAGTATTGATGAGCTAATCTGGCAGCCAACGAGAATCTAGGTCACTATATGAGAGACGCTAATTATGTATAGCAGAGAATGTCACGCCTTACTGAAAGTTCAAGCAGAAAAGATATTTTTACTATGCATAAAAAAGGGTGGGGAACATACCAGCTCTACAGTACACATCCCTTCCTCTGGCACATTTCTTGGAAAATTGGAGTTGAAAATATTATCTTTAATACTGCAATGAAGAAAATTTAATAAAACAATCCTCACCCCAAGAAAACCATTGGGCCGACTTCATTTGTCACAAATCGGCGTACGCCGAATTGCGCCGGTCATATGATCGGCGTAAAACGGCTAACTGGCAAATGAAGTAAACCGGCGATAAGAAAAAATAATTATACTATATAACAATCAATTAATTAAGATCTATCACTTTTTACGTTATGTCTTAGCGAAAAAAAGGTTGGATAATTAGAAATTCAATTTTTAAAAAAGTCATGGAATTGATGAAAAACATTATTTGTAGAAAATAAGAACGGATTTTAAAAATACATGAATGGAGATTTGTTCAAGAAAAGTAAACAATTAAAGAATATGCCGAATTGGTAAAAAGTATCCTCATTTTATAAGTTGTTCTATCTTCCCGCCATATTTCTAAGACCGGCGAATTGCTCGCCGGTCATTTCAGACCGGCGAGATCGGCGTACGCCGGCGAACCTTCCCCGGTCAAATGAAGCAACAAGCCGGGTTACCAAAGGTCAAGCGGCGCATTCGGCGTACGCCGGTTTGACAAATGAAGTCCCACCATTGTCAACCTCGGCTGCGCCAGGATTGACAATGGTTTTCTTGGTGGGAAAATTTTCAATGTTACACTCAACTACATGCAATATTATATTATACTGAATGTTTTACACGAATATATATTACTGTGAATCTTGCACGCATAAATTCTGCGCAGTCAGTACCGGGGTATTTTTTTTTTTGAATATCACCCATCGTCAAGCAATGTTGACTGTTGCTTCGCTGGAGGGCGTGGCTTCAGTATTCAGCGGGTAATAATGTTTTCTAACAAATGTTTCTCGACGAATCAGATTAAACTAATTTACATAAAAGTATAATATATTATAATACTGAATGATTTACAAATTTATACAAATAACGATGAGACGTGCGCTCATAGATTCCTCACACTAACTTTTTTTGGAATATCACCTGTCGTCAAGTAATGTTGACTGTTGCTAGGTTCTATCAAGCTGGAGGGCGTGGTTTCATCATTCAGAGGGTATCGGTGTTTTTTAACAAATGTTTCTCAACGAATCAAATTCAACTTATTTACATGAAAGTATGATATATAATACCAACTCACTCTTATCTCACACTTAAAATATCATAATATTTTACACAGCTTTTTCTGAATAATTCCATGAAATGCAAAACTGGCTTTATTGCTATATTTTGAAATGAATATTAAAATAGATTTTGACCTTCACTATTTTAAGGAATGTTGTTATCGACGATGGGGTTTTCGATTTCGACCAGGGCCACTGAGCAGTAGAATTCCTGAGGCCGGATCGGTATTGTCTGCAAATCCCTTTTTTCAACCAATAGATTATTATCAAGATAACTCGAGAGCAAAAGAGGTATGCTGCGCTTCGGGACACTGTGACTGGTATTATAATTTACGGCCAAGACCGAGATTTTGCCTCAGGTTGATTCCAGTTCGAACGGGTATATAACTGTTTGCATATATGCAATGAAATCGTTTCAAAGAAATATTATAAAAGCAATGTATAGATGATTGTAAAATTCCCTACATATATGAATGACTTTATATTCAAGACCTAAGATCTATTAAACTAATCTTTATCTACATTGTCAGAAAAAATATGCTTTTAACGTTTTAAAAAGTATTTACTTTGTATTTTGAATTTACGCATATAAATTTTAAATAGTAAAATGCTATTGGTTTCTTGATATATAAACACTGCACTTTAAAGAAAGCACTTATACTTGCACTCCAATTTAAGCCTGGTTCTTTGGTGATCCACATATAAACACGCTTGATGGAGGAAAATACACCTTTAATGGATATGGTGAATACACTATGATGAAGATAGATCATAACGGAACGAAGTTTGACCTCCAGGCTCGTACAGATTTGGCGACAAACGCAAATGGAACAACAATCAACGCAACAATTTTCAGTGCTTTTGTTGCAAAGGATCAAACTGGCTCTATTGTGCAGGTGGAAATGTCAAGAAATAAAAAAAGTATATATATATTTTTAAAAAATCTTTAGCAATCATAGTTTTCTGTGTCTTTCGTTTCATTATTTAAAGTGCTATTCACTCTTTGGTAATTAGAGTTCAAAATTTTAAATCTACAGTGATGAAAGGATGCAGAAACTGCAGCAAAATGTTGTTCGCAAGCTGTTGTATAGTTGGAACCTCTGTACAAAATTTATAATTTCTTTAAGAAAGGCTAGAGATTACTATGTTTTCTGCAGAGTAAATCGATGTTTCTTTAAAAATTGATGGTTTTCTTAAAATTGGGAATTGCAAAGGTACAATTTTTTTTTACCATTAACATTATTTTATCTTTAAAATCTATAATAATTTTGAAAGAGACATGTATTGGTGTTATAATTTACATGCATCAGATATGGCTTTGGGTATGAAATATTGCATTATTCTGCATGCCATCCAAGAAAGACCCTCAATCTTTCTTGTGTTCTAAATTATATGTATATCATTTTGATAGAGAATATTTTACTGTCAAGATTTTCAAAACAAAAGATTTAAGGTGGGGCTGAACAAAAATTGGAGTTTTGTCCATACTTTACCTGCGGTACTAATTGTATGACAAATCCGTTTGAAAGTCTTATTATCATAGCATATTAAAAGAATGAAATATGAAGCTAACGAACAGTAACCAAGCTCAGAAGCTCAGAAGTCCGTTGGAACAATACAAACTGGGAGCAGAGCAAACATAGACCTCTGAAAAATCAGAGGTGGGATCATGTGCCATGAAGGAGTAAGGATGCCTTGTCGACCCCTCACACCAGCCGAGAGCTCCTCGTCAAGATCGGGCAAACGGAAAAGTCCGTGGAAAATTCAGTGTGAAAATAATGGTCTGACAATTTGTATGAAAAACGCCAGTCAACATTCGACTTAACAGAAGATTGCATTTGTTACTAAAGTCATTGTATCGACCATAGAATTTGCGAATTGGAGACGTTAAACAAAACTGATGATATCTTTGTATCATAAACGTATTTGTCAATAGTTTGCCTCGTTTTAGAAATTGTTTATACGTAGATCATAAAGTTTTGTTGTTATTTTGTCATTAATGTCATTATCTAGTAAATTTAAATATCTAAATATATATGAGATTTATCAGACTCTGTGTTGTCTTTTAATTCGATTTCAAAAGGATAATATATCAATTCAATGTAGGCAAGGAACTAAGTATTATTCATTGATAAAATGTTGTCAATATATCTAAATGCCGAATTGAAGACAACAGCAAGATCCCTTTTTTCATGTAGAAGTTTTATAATAAATCATTTAATTTATAGAGTTCGGCGTAATTTCTAATTTAGATTTCATTTATCTGTTATCTATACTGTATTTTACATTATAGATATGTATGTGCGAGGAAATGGACGTGATTTAACGTTAGAGTTTGAAAATAATCCTGACTACGTCTTTAGAACTGTGAACATATCCATATCCATGGACAACGGAACTATTGAAGCATCGTTCATTCAAAGCGGTAAGAAGTGTGATTTTGATAAACTTCATGTGATCCCAGAAACAGCTCAGCTAAAGAAAAAACTTCTTTTTTTAAAAAAAAATGGAGTAAATTGATTTATTTTTTGTACTTTAAGATTTTCAAGTATTTATTTACTCTCAGATGGCCTAAAAAACATGACTGGCCTTGGTTACCTACTATTGAAAATAATTAATAAAGGATCCATGATAACGAACGACAATATTATAAAAATATTGACTGGGGTTGAAAGAAACATTGACTTGTTAGCCCCCAAGGGATAAAGTATTACCCGACCCGGAGGGCCGGGCAATATTTTAGTCCCGACGGGGCTAATATAATCATTGTAACCCGAAAACAAAGTTTGAGACATGAACAAAATTTACATAGTTTTAAAAAGTGTCTTAAGACTCACCTGTTTAAAATGGTTTTTTATAATTAATATAGTAATTATTTAAAATTTTATGTTCTTGCTTATACACAAAGTTTATGGTCTCTCTCTCTCTCTCTTTTTTTTTTTTTTATTTATTTTATTATTTTTTTTTTTTTGTAATTCTATTTAATGTTTTAAGGTTATTTTTTTTCTCAATTCGATAATGTAATTGTATATAGTTATAGCTACTTTAGGATCTAATTTTTAAATAATTTTTATCATTATTATTGTTATTATTTTTAAATATCTATATGTCTTTTTCAGATTCTTAATTATGTGTTAATTATTGTATATTTTTATATTTATGTGCAAGCGCTTTAGAGTAATTTTAATTATATTTAGCGCTATACAAATTTTATAATAATAATAATTATGATAATAATAATAGTATTTTGATTTCATTCATTAAAATTCAGCAGTGTTAATTACCTAAAACTAAAAAAAATTTAATTTTGAAGTCGCGACGGTATCATTACGTCACAATAAATCAATCTATATGTACAAACCAGAATCAAGTTCAATATTTTGAGAAAAATCTCTTTGCTAGTCAATAGTAAAAATTAAATGGCCCTCAATATTTTTTTTGGAGAAGCTAAGATCAATTATGCTGACTGTTTCTCTATAACGAGAATGTAGAGACTTTTCTTTTACTGAATATAAAAGTATTTCCTATAGACCCATCACCAGTGCTACTACATATTATGTATATTTGAACATACCCCCCCCCCCCTCTCGGGATGAAAATATTTCATCCCTTTGGGGCTAACATAATGAATGTTGCCCTAAACCCCAGTCGGTGAACCCTACATTTTTTTCTATAACAGCTATAACAATTAAAATTAGTCTTGGTGTGAGATTTCTGACATCAGAAACAATGGTGGACGAAAAATACAGAGGAAAAGTCACAGGACTGATGGGGAATTTCGACGGTAATACAACCAACGACTTTATTCTTCCTAATAGAACCACATTATATGGCAGCAATGTAGATACAGAGAGGAAAATCTATAACAACTTTGGACAACTTTGTAAGTCAACACTTTTTCTTTTACTTACTGGAACATGCTAAAATCATAAAGTGTACAGTTCTTTGAAATATTAACAGAAATCATTCAAAGGAATAAACGGTCAATCAAAACGAAGATTAAGTGAATTTAATATGAACGGTTTTTCCCTCCAAAAAACAAATTTTGAAATGGCACAATGTGACTTCACCAACATTTTTTTCCCCAGAAATGTTGTTATAAAGTACTGTAAAAAAGTTCACCATTCTGTTTAGCGATATTTGATTTCGAAGCTCATTTTTTTCATCTTGAGTCGGGAGAGGGCAAGCAAACATTATTTTAAACTTGGCCCGAGTAATTTTATCTTGGCGAGTGTGATTCTCTCGAAATGACGCGATCATTAATTCCTCTCGTATATTTGGGAATCTACAGTAAAGCACAAACTTCTTAGCTCACCTGAGCCAAAGACGCAAGTGAGCTTTTCTTATCGAAGGGTGTCTTGCGTACTTATATCGTCTGTTGCGTGTCGTCTGTACACTTTTAACAATGCATTTTCGACTTCTTTTCAAGAACCACTGGGTCAATTTTATCAAAGAGGGTGTTGCAGTTTTTATATTATTTGTAGCAGATAGTATGAAAAAAAACTTAATATCGGTTTCTGGTTTATGATTAAATAAAATGTAATTTAGTCACACATCAAAATATGACAAATTTTGTGTTTTTTTAATAAGGGAATCCCCATTGTTCTGAAAATTGCCTCCTTGAAACGGAACGAATCAGGCCAGCTATAAAATAATGTTTGCTTGCCCTCTCCCGACTCAGGATGAAAAATGAGTCGGTAGGTAGGTGAGGAATTTTTTCTCAAAGGAAATTTAAAAATCAATGCTGAATTTTCAAAATCTATTTTCCGGAATGCATAAAGAAAATGACTGCTTCCTAAAGGTTTAAAAAAAAGTTTTGAGTAGGGCCATTTTTATCCAGTCGGTTGGGAGTGGGCAACCAAACAATTTTTAAAGATGGTCTCAGATATATACATTAAGAGCCAGGATTTTTTTTTTCAAAAATGTCATTTCTGATTCTTGTTTCAAGGAAGAATATTTTTAAAAATCTTAAAAAATTGAAGAAAAAAAATATCCCTCCAAAACGCAAGAAGTGTATGTCTATATCGTATCGGGATTGATCTAGTAAAGCAGCAGTAGCCGTGAGCCGTGGATGTCTTTGTGAACTTGGTTCGAATCCCGGAATGGATGATATATATATGATATTTTTTTAATATAGAATAATGAAAATATAGTGAAATATTAAATTTTAAACAGAGATTATCCTGGTATGGTGTTCTTTGAAAGAGCAATATTTTTACTACATTTAAATTGTTTTCCTCGATACTGGGATTTCAAAATAATGAAACATAAGGATTTTATATAATTAGAGGACAGTGTGATAAAAAATGAAATATAATTTTATATAATTGATTTTGACTTGTTTTTGTTATCGAGAAGTAGTGGCCCAGATCAGGGGCGTATATAGAGTAGGTCCCTACCTATAAATCAGCTTAAATAGATATGTGAAAACGCTAAATTATCAACATTTATGCAGAAGTTTCATTTTAGGAAACGAATTGTAAGAAAATTGCGTTCAAATTTACATATATTTTTTTCGACTTAGCGATTACTGATTTTCTTACCGCGATTATAATACCGTCGTTTCGACAGAGTAATCTGTTAACCGGTTGAAAATTGCCACCCTAGTAAAAGATAAACAAGGTCATGCCCGCCTTACAAATAAAGTGATCTCACTAGTTGTAACTAAATTAAGAACTCCCTCAATCTTCATGCATCGTGGGTATTTAAATGTACTTCTCGATATAGGGAATAGTCACGAATTTCTGCAACACCCTCTTAAATTTTCCACAAAGCATCCTTTAATAAAGGAGATTGAAATTTGTTGAAATGACGGACCACGCTCTCTTCGAAGAATCTCTATTAAGAATTAGTGAAGATTTAATGGTTTCTTTTAAATTTTTTTCTTAATGTTACCACTAGGCCAGGAAAATTTAAACTTAGGCCATCTTTAAAAAATTGTTTGGTTGCCCTCTCCCGAGCGACTGGATAAAAATGGCCAGACTCAAAACTTTTTTATAACCTCCAGGTAGCAATCATTTTTTTATGCATTCTGAAAAATAGATTTTGAAAATTCAGCATTGATTTTTAAATTTCCTTTGAAAACAAATTTCTCACCAACTCTTTTTTTTCATCCTGAGTCGGGAGAGGGCAAGCAAACATTATATTTTAAAGTTATTTTAAAGTTGGGCCTTATATAAAAGCTTCATTACATTGTGTAGATTTAAGTTTTTTTTTCAAATCATATCCCCCAGGGCTAGGGCGGGGCCACAATAGGCGATTAAAGTTTTACATAGGAAGATATGGAAAAAGTCATATTTAAATGGAAGCATTCTCTGATAGTAAAAATTATAGTTTGTCAAAATGATGACCTCCGGGGATAGGGTGGGACCACAATATGTGTCAAAGTTTTACAAAGGAAAAATCTTCAAAAACCTTTATTCTGAAGAACAAGTCAAGATCATTTATATTCATATTATAGGAAAGCAACTACAGATAGTATGGATTCAGGTTTGTTCAAATCATGACCCCCAAGGGGTAGGATGGGGCCACAATGGACCATCAAAGTTTTTACATAGGAATATATAGCTTTAAAAAACCAATCTTCTACTCAGGAACAAAAACGCCATATATATATATATATATATATATATATATATATATATATATATATATATATATATATATATATATATATATATATATATATATGTATATATATATATATATATATATATATATATATATATATATATATATATATATATATAAGGAGGCTTCCTCAGGTAGTTAAGACTCAAATTTGTTCAATTCCTAATGTGTAGGATGTAGGATTTGGCCACATTATGTGATCAAAATTTAGATAGGATATATAGGAGGAAATTTGCTGATTGAAAAAAAGCTGGGCCATAGTTACTCAGGTGAACAATGATGTCCATGGGCCACTTGTTTTAAAATATTCAAGCTATGCATTATCGCAAGAGGGAGCAAAAAAGGAGGATATTAACTTAAGCTTGAGAAAAGAATTACATATTTCAGAATTCTAAATTTTTTATCGTTTCAGTGGAGAATGAAGCCCAATGAATTCTTCATACCGCAGATCATTTCACAGTATTATTTCATAATATTAAATCAGACTCTAACATATTTAGTGCATAATATAACACTTTTCAAATTATTACAGGGTCGATAAATGTCACAACGTCACTTTTTCATTATGATACTGGATTAACACACGACGAGTACTCGCATCCTGAGTTTGTACCGTTCTTCATAGATGAATTTCCAGAGGACAAAAGGAACAAATCAATAGAAGTTTGTGGTGGAGCAAAAGCCACTCAGGCTTGTATTTTTGATTTCCTTGCTACTGGAGATCAATCACTAGCCGAAGCATCTGGTGCTGACGACGACACCTCGGCGACTGACACGGCTAGTTTAGGTTGCATTTCTAACTACCGAATACCCAAAACCTAAACAAATTTCATCATGAATTTGACATTTAAAAGGTTTCTAATTGTTATATGTTTATTTCTTTCCAGAAAATGAGATTCCCAGTATTGAGGGAGATAATAATATAAAGGCAGAGGTTAACAAGTCGGTGGAAATTAAGTTTAATGCTACTGATGATGAAAGTTATACTTATGAAATACTTCAGCAACCTCTAGGGTTCAGTTTTAACAATACCACTGGCATAGCAACATGGACACCACAGGATAATAACGTTGCAAACATTAGGTGACTTAAAATGTTTATTACTATTTATCATTTAAATATGATATTCACAAGTAAATAAAAAAAAAAAAAAAAGAAAAATAGCATAATTTTCAAGAAATGAATTTAAATTTTCATTTTGTTTCAGCGTAACTGTTGTTGACAACAAAGGAGAACAAGCGGCCCCAGTAGATGTCGCTATTATCCTCTGTTCCGGTTGTAATGGGCGTGGAAATTGTAGTTATAATAATACTCGAAGTTCTACATCTGATATGTTTAAATACGCTGAATGTGAATGCGATATCGGATACTCGGGTATACTACTTTTGAATTAAAAAATTGTATGCATGTCCAAATAGATTTGCACTATCTCCGTAGTTAAAATGAAAGAGACACATTCTCAAAGGATATAAGCATTTACATGTAGTACTGATGTACACAACCCATACACTTACAGGACAAGATTGTGAGAACGATACAGATGGTTGTGCCCAGTCTCCCTGTGCCCAAGGTAGAGATTGTACAGACTTGACACCTGAGGAGGAGCGTCTACGGGGGAGGGGATACAGTTGCTCTGACTGTCCTGCTGGTTATTTCTTAGATGTAGACAAATGTGAAGGTACTGTTCACACACACACACACACCCTTTCACACACCCACACACCCACACCCACCCTCACACACACACACACACACACCCTCCCTCACACACACACACACACACACACACCCTCACACACACACACACACACACACACACACACATATATATATACGTAAAATTTATCTAATTGATTAGACCTCCCCTCCCCAAATTAAAAAAAAAATGTATTCTAAGGAACGCATATGTCGTCTGCTTTGAGCTTCATTAAAGATGTAAATAAATATAGGAGTACTTATTTATTACTAACATGATAGTAATACTTTTGCGTGCAAAGAAAAAAAAAACATCCATGGATTGTATAAGACTGCGATTAAATCTGACAATCAAAGAAAATTTGGTTCCCAATCCTCAAATGTTTAATTAAATAGAAATTATTAGAGATAATTATTTCTTATTTTGTTAATTCGTGTTTCCAACAATTCTCCAAAAGAGATTTTAGTCTGTCTTTACTGCAAAACATTTGCAACATTTGAAACATTTTATTTCACTTAATGGCCTCACATGAGGCATAAAAGTACAAGCAAGAAAGCAGTTGTCAGTCTACAAGATCCATAGTGGAATACCAATCCAGATGTATTTTCATAGGATTTAAGTTTGTGTGATAACTAAATATCACACAGTTTCAAAATACAGTCTAATGAGCTCATAAACATGTATAAATGCTAGCTAACAAAACCCTGTCTCTTAAAATATAAAAGACAGAAATTAAACTGGGATATTTTTTGCAAAATAGGCCAAAGGTCAAGTCAATTGAATTGTAACGATGGAATTTTCATTGTGTTTTTGACAAACAGTGCACATGCTGAATAATAAAGATTTGCTTCTTAAATGTCAAACCTAGTATGCTTTATTTCGGTATTATGAACTATTCTGAACAGTAGGTCAGAGGTCAAGGTCGAGAGTCCCAAGGTCAGCAACCATAGTTATTTACAAAAGCCATAGTGTCAAGCAAAATATTTGCAAAATATCAGATTTATACCTCTTACAGTTGTTGAGATATAAGGTGTAACAGAAGGACAGACATACAGATTAGAGATACATTGTGCAAAAGATGAAGGTCCGGAGTTACTTTCGGTAGTTAAGTCTGCAGTGGGGTGCATATGTCCAAATAATATTTTGTACATTCTTTCATACTGCAGCTTTATGTTCGTATTTTTACTACAGAGTGGGGTGAATTTTAGTACGGGATTCCCCAATTCTTTACCTACTTTTGACAAGTCCATAATACTAGTTTTTCTGAAAATCGTTAACGGTTTAAGTTTATATCTATTTTTTTAACCTCGCACAGTCACATCAAGCATAAATAAACCTTGTTATTGAAGGGTTAACCCCACAATACGAAAACACTTCCAGAATACTGGAAAATACGCATAATGAACCTCACAGTTTACCTCTGGTAGGAGCAGACGGACATACAGACAGACTGATGGGGGTAAAGTGATCCCTAAGTGTCGCTCTGCTAGCGACACAAAAACTACACGAGCAATAAAAAAGTTGCCAGTTTAACATACAGAACGTTATTTCTAGATATACTTCTACGCAAGCATAATCAAGATTATTGATTTCTTTCCTATTATACAACTTTTTGTGATTGCATTAGCTTAAAATTATCAAGACTCATCTGTCTCTCCTAAATTTTATTTAACACATCGAGGCCACATGACCATAAACTAAGAGCATACTAACGTCGGAATTAGAGATTTCGAATAATATCTTGACTTTATTAAAACAAAAATGTTCTTTAAAAAATACATTGATATTTTATGAAAATGCAGTGTATAAAACTGATTAAGAAAAGTTTGTTTTTATTTTCAAAATTATTTCAAAAGATATTCCTATTAGGAATTTTGAATAAAGTCTGTTTTCAGTTTATGGTTTTGAGGCCAGTTCCTTTCTTGATGCTGCTTATGATAGATATCTTTACGGGTAAATTTATTTCAAAATTGATTATTCGTCATCCAAACTTTTAAACGTTTACTATCACCAATTTCCTCCAATTATTTTTTTTCTCGAAATTTTCGTGAAAATTGAGCATTGAATAAAAACTCTTTAAAAATGGATCATTATTTTAGATTGAAACTTTTTTTACAGATAAAAATGAATGTAACAGTACAACAACAAACACATGCGATAGTACGACACAAGATTGTGAAAATACGGAGGGCAGCTATCAATGTAATTGTAAGACGGGATTCAGAAAAGTTGGAGACACTTGTCAAGGTACATGAAATCCTTATTAGTGTGAGTTATTTTCTGAATAATTTTATAGAATGATTTATTGAAAATCTTTCTTTTCATCAGATGTCGATGAATGCATAGAAAGCACATCTGGATGTGAGCAGAGCTGCACCAATACTCCTGGGTCATTTGTTTGTTCTTGCGTCACTGGTTTTAAATTAAATAGTGACAAGAAGTCATGTAACGGTAAATGAAACAATTCATTTAAGTGCTGTTTTAGTTATTTTTGAAATTTTTAGCATAAAAATTTCCAGAAATCGCGTCTTTTCATGAACATCCCTCGGTATAAAAAAAATCGATTGCAAATTAGATATACAGTAAAACTTGTCTAATCCGGACACCACTCGTTCCAAAGAAATTGGCCGAATTAGACACATTCCGGATTAGACGACATTTTGAACAAATGAATTTACTGAAAAGGACTTAAAATTAACATCGTATTAGGCAAGATTTTGGATTATACAACATCCGGATTAGACAAGTTTCAATGTATTTTCTTTTGAGAAATAAAATATTTTTTTATATTATGGATTTGAATCTGTTGAAATCAGAAAATCACTTTTTGATAGAAAAACATAATTATTAAATGAATGGTGCTTCATTGTAAACGACCAGGGAATTGTTTTTATCATCTCTCATGGTATACTTTTGATATTATGTTTTTGGTGAAAGAAGATGGGCGTGTTTGGCGTGTGATCTGCAGGAATAAGGCGTACGAAACATTTATAGTTTAAATGTCTACGATTTGGTCGGCTGACCACAGCTGGACACACTTTACAAAGTTACGCACATGGGAAAATGTTATATTTAGTTTGAAATACTGTGTCGAATTTAATATATCAGTCCGCTTATCTTAATAATTACTACATATAAAACTTAGTAACGCTTCACATAAGTAATAAACACCTATGGGGTATAGTTAAATGCAATTACATGTATATATTAAAGTGTCAGTAGGTTGGAAAAATTGCTTTCGCTTTCGGTGCAACAGAACCAGAATTTATCTATTTGAAAATAAATCAGTACACAAAATTAAACTGACAAAAGAATTGATTGTTTGTACTAAAAAAAATATTAACGCTCCATGCGAGGATCGAACCAAAAATATGTATTTTTCATTGCACTGGACGGGTTACGCATACTACTGAGCTATCACCGCTCCACACGCTTATGGTGTTTTTAAAGCGACAATGAAGCACCGCATTTACACGTTGGAATTTTTTTGGAAAAAGTTCATTTTTTATTGTCTCTGGGTCTTCTCTCCATTTTTTACAAATATTTGTTCGTTTCTTTGAATTAAAATGCACACAAATAACGTTCCAAAATCATGGAGAGATGACCCAGAGGAAGCAAATTTTTAGAAAAACGTGTTTGAAAATGTAACATTTTGTACCAAATGACTCATCTAGCCAATTTTCAAGTTCTTTTTTAGCAAATCAAAATACAATAGCGGGAAAATATTTCCATTTCCTATTTCACAGGAACCCAATACAGCAAAAGAATGCTAAAATTTTATGTGACAGATCAATGAAATTTTTACTTTTCAAGTGCGCCCAGATTCCTGCCGAATGTCAATCAAAAGCGCCCTCGTTCTTTCAGTACAATTTACCAGAAATCTTTCAAAATTATATATTTTTAAACGAATTATTTTTGTTGAATTATTTTGTATATCTTTTTAAGGATCGAGAAATTGCATTGGATTAAATTGTGAATATGCTTGTTCCAACGCAACTGGTAGTGATATATGTATATGCAGGACTGGTTTCAAGTTAAAAGACGAAGAAAATTGTACAGGTAAGCGAAAGCATCAACATATAAGAGATAAACAAGGTATTGACAGGAAACTAGCGGAAAAAGAAAATATGAGAGATATATGTAATAGATAGAGACAAGGGGACTACTTTCGAGTTTGTTTTCCTTTAGAAACTTTTCATTAAGAAAAAAACTGTTTAAAACCAATGTTTAAAGAATAAAAATCAAGAAAGTTTGTACATCTTTTTATGTGTGGATTGTAGTAGAAATATAGTATATACAGTTATGAATAATTGTCTCACCCAAACGAATATCATTGTGTTTATTTTTTGATAAAAACTCACAGTATAAATTGAGAGTACCCAGGTTTGATTAGTTATACCCCCGCTCCGAAGGAGAGGGGGGTATACTGTTTTACCCTTGTGTGTCTGTCTGTCTGTCTGTCCGTCTGTCTGTCTGTCTGTCTGTCCGTAACAAACTTTGGTCGCAGTTTTCTCAGCAACTACTCATCAGAGGTGCTTGAAATTTTAACACACTCTTTGTTTAGGCATGCCATATGGTGGGATTCATTTTTGTACTAATCCGATGTCAACTTCCTGTTTATCCGTGCGTTTGTCCGTACCATACATAAAAAAATTTGGTCGTAGTTTTCTCAGCAACTACTCATCGCAGATGCTTGAAATTTTAGCACAATCTTTGTTTAGGCATGCCATATGGTGGGATTTATTTTTGTACGAATCCGATGTCAACTTCCTGTTTATCCGTGTGTCTGTCCGTATCACACATAACAAACTTTGGTCGCAGTTTTCTCAGCAACTACTCATCACAGGTGCTTGAAATTTTAACACACTCTTTGTTTAGGCATGCCATATGGTGGGATTTATTTTTGTACTAATCCGATGTCAACTTCCTGTTTATCCGTGCGTCTGTCCGTACCACACATAACAAACTTTGGTCGCAGTTTTCTCAGCAACTACTCATTGCAGATGCTTGAAATTTTAGCACAATCTTTGTTTAGGCATGCCATATGGTGGGATTCATTTTTGTACGAATCCGATGTCAACTTCCTGTTTATCCGTGCGTCTGTCCGTACCATACATAACAAATTTTGGTCGTAGTTTTCTCAGCAACTACTCATTGCAGATGCTTGAAATTTTAGCACAATCTTTGTTTAGGCATGCCATATAATAGGATTCATTTTTGGAACAAATCCGATGTCAACTTCCTGTTTATCCGTGCGTCTGTCCGTACCATACATAATAAATTTTGGTCGTAGTTTTCTCAGCAACTACTCATTGCAGATGCTTGAAATTTTTTCTTTGTTTAGGCATGCCATATGTTGGGATTCAGTTTTTACAAATCCGATGTCAATTTCCTGATTAACACTGTGTTTGTCCATAACTGAACTTGTGTATTCACATCAGAGCGGGGGTATTATTAGTGAGCATTGGCTCACAGACTTCTTGTTTTATTTTTCCATTGTAAATTTTTAACATCGACCCTGTAGTAATTACATGTACATGAATTTAAAATTGTACATGTGCCTGCTTTGAGAAACACGGATTAAGTAGGTTTAGTCCTAGATCAAAGTATAATCATTAGGTTTTGGGTTTTTGTCAAGTGATCGAAATACCCGGTTTTCGTTTAATATGCACGTTGTACATGAAAGCACATAGTTTCTACCCATTTAGCTTTTCGTTTCGGAGATTTAAAATCTCATACAAAATGAAAAAGGAGGTTAAAAAGACATGATTGTACATACGAGTTGATAGATAATAAAAATAATAAAATAATGAATAAATAATCACTCTTTTGAGTTGAAATCTGCATCGACTGGGCTATTTAGATATTTATAAATATATACGTACAGTGGTATTACAGGTTGTACATTGCTTTAAATAATGTCTCAATCGGTGATAATGCTTTAAATGAATTAAAATATATTCTTTGAATCATTATAATCCTTTTTTTAAATAAATTGGATGAATGTATATTATATAACTTTTCTCGTCTCAATAGTGTTTGAGAACATTTCCATTATGGCCTGGCCTACCCCATTCATTTTATTTGTAGATATAATAATTATTTAAACTATTACATTTTTTTTTAAAATAAACTATATCATTATTTAAAAAAAATTATTCCATGGTTTTTGAGTATGCGAAAACATAAAATGGAATTATCTACTCCATTTGTGAGTTTGGTTTGTTTTATTGAAGTACTCATTTCATTAAAAAGCGCATTTAGAATATTAACATGGAATTTTTTTTCTTTTGAAATCATAACCATTTCAATTATTTTTTTTTAATTTCAATTTATAGAAACTTATGACTTATGACTTTTTGTATATAAGAATGAAAATAAATTTTACATTATGTTTATTCAGACATAAATGAATGTGAGGTAGGAGGATTTTGTTCCCAGGACTGTCAGAATTCTGTTGGCACATACACTTGTTCCTGCTTTTCTGGCTTTTCACTGAACCCAGATAAAACAACGTGTTCAGGTAATTTGTTCACCAAATGTTTAAAAAAATGTAATCATTTTTAACTGGTCAAATTCACGACTTATGATTTGATTGCAATCCTTTGAAAACTCTAAACTGTGCAAAAATGCACGCGCTTTATTTTTTAGGGCTGTGTATTGAGCAAAATATTTCGATACGATACAATACGATATTTTATAAAGCGATATGCGATATATTGGATCATTTATAAAGTCTTTCAAAAATGTCTTGTAAATGACATTTAATGCATAAATTTGATGAAAAATGGGTGAGTCTAATATAACATGTTAAAATATAGTTGTCTATGTATTTTGTAATAGTTTTTAAGATGTGCTATCTCCTTAATGTTTATTTCATCATTGACCAGTTTTAATTCAAAACAGTTAAAAATAATCTTTGGTAACTGAAATTCCCAACTTTTATACAGAATTATAAGGAAAACTGCCTGTCCGATACGTATTGGAAATTATTTTTTCGATACGATAAATTCCTGAATATCGATACGTATTGAATATTCGATATATTGACACAGCCCTATTATTTTTAGCATGTGAACCTCCAAGTTATGGCGTAGATTGTAAAGAAACCTGTAGGTGTGGTAAGGGGATGGACCGCTGTGATCCAGTGACAGGTTGTGTCTGTAAAGCCAACTGGACAGGAAGTAACTGTGATCAAGATGTCAATGAATGTACAGAAAACCCAAATATTTGTGGTAGTGACAAAACCTGTGTAAACTTGGAGGGAGGTTACACATGTAACTGTAGAGCTGGATATAAAAAAGACAGCCAAGGAAACTGTGGTGGTGAGATAAATTATTTCAAACGCAAGTACGGTCGTAAGAATGAAGACACTAGAGACTAATATAATCGTCTTTAATTCAACGTGTTTAATATGTAAATTTTTAGCTCTACTGGTCAGAGACCAGAAGAGCTTATGCAATAGTAAGGTGTCTGTCTGTCTGTCTAGCTGTCCAGCTGTCTGTCTGTCCGTCCGTCTGTAAACAATTTTTTCAAAACGCTACTCCTCCTACAGTTTTGGTCTGATATCAATATAACTTGGCACATAAGTAGACTATAGTACGATACATAATTCTGTATATCGGTTTTTGATTTCAATGAACGGTGTTGCCATGGTTACTAAAAATAGAGGTTTCTGGGAATTACTTTCAAAACGCTACTCCTCCTACAGTTTTGGTCTGATATCAATATAACTTGGCACACAAGTAGACTATACTAAGATACATAATTCTGTATATCAGTTTTTGATTTCAGTGAACGGTGTTGCCATTGTTACTAAAAATAGAAATTTCTGTGAAAAACATTCAAAACGCTAGGCTACTCCTCCTACAGTTTTGGTCCGATTTCAGTATAACTTGGCACACATGTAGACTACACTAAGATACATAATTATTTATTTCGATTTTTGATTTCGATGAACGGTGTTGCCATGGTTACTAAAAATAGAAATTTCTTTGAAATACTTTCAAAATGCTACTCCCCCTACAGTTTTGGTTTGATTTTTGTATAACATGGCACACAAGTAGACTACACTAAGATTCATAATTCTCTGAACCAGTTTTGGATTTGGATGAACAGTGTTGCAATGGTTACTAAAAGTAGAAATTTTCTTGAAATACTTTCAAAACACTACTCCTCCTACACATTTTGTCTGATTTCAGTATAACTTGGCATACAAGTACACTAAACTGAGATACATAGTTGTAGTTATTGTTTTTTGACTTTGTTGAATGATGGTGCCATGGTTACTTAAATTGAAATGTCTGTAAAATTGTTTTAAAAGGCTACTCCTCTTACAGTTTTAGTCTGATTGCAATAAATCTTGGTTTCATAAAGATTCTCAGTGATTTACTGATATATGAATTCTACATTGATAACTATGCCTTAATGTTTGCAGAAAATTCATTGATCGCGAACAAATTGAAATGAAAAACCACCGCAATGAATTTCACATTTAAAGTGTATCTGACTGTGTGTGGTTTATATTAATTTTTTTTTAATTTGTGAATGATGTTTGGACTACCCCTTACCCCACGTATTATTAACCTGAATGAATATACTTAACTTTATAAACAGAAAGAGAAATAGAAAAGATAACTTTCATTGGAAGATTTTCACGCAGGAAACGATGTATTACTCATAAAATTTTACCACTCAACCCCCCATCCCACCCCCACAAAAATGGACACTCCGTAGGCCGAAGGACCAGGAAGGGTTTTAAGTCCTCACGTATGAATTCGGAAAAGCTTTAAGTCATTCTAAACTTCGTTTAGTTAAAGTCACGTTTAAGTTTCTTAATTCTGTTAGCCTTTTTCCGCCTTTTTCAGATATCAACGAATGCGATAATGCTGCTTCTAATAACTGCTCTACAGAGACGACAATCTGCTCCAACAACAACGGAAGCTATAGTTGTACATGTAAATCTGGATACACGCGCAAGAACCTCTATGAGTGTGAAGGTTAGTGGAATCATTTCATAGTTATATTTTGCTGTTCTATTTAGTGTAACCAAAAGTTTCAAAGAAACTTCTTCGGAAGTGTGATTGTATTTTTATTCAAGGTCAAGTCTATGCTGATCTCCTAATCGCAGGGCTGAAAATATCACAAAATGCATAAACTCTAAAATGATGTACCATAAGTATATTGTATTTATTTCCAGACTATTATAGGTAATCTGAATATTGATGAAAAGTATATACATTAAATGTAAACTTTTTCAGAATCGTCATTTATGTTACTGCGCTTGCTTACCTTAACTGGGTTATCAAATGTATTACTTTTTACTGTAAATCATAACCAGAAAAAGTATGTCAAATAAAATTGTAAGATAGATTTACTGTGTTGAGTCTTTTCGAAGGTCTGTTTCATCGACACTGCAAATTTCAAAATACTTAAATTGTAAATTAAAGCATATAAATATGTAATCATTGGCGTCTTTTTACAGTAGGAATAATTTTGTTTTAGATTTTGATGAGTGCAATGCTGGGACGGATGGTTGTACTCAGAAATGTGAAAATGTAGATGGAAGTTTTAACTGTGAATGTGAATTTGGTTATACGTTGGGTGATGATAGAAAAACATGTATAGAAGGTAAAGAAATCTACATAACGATAAATTATGTGTATAGAGTGTAGTTTACATACAGATGGCACAATAAATTAAGCCAAATAGATTAAATTTTTGAATACTACTGCTGTGTTGTTCTAAATTTTGATTATTATAGTACAAGACATATGTAGCCTGTTTCCATCATTAAACTGCACATACGGATGCAAAAAGAATAATACTGTTGGATACTGCTTCTGTGCTGCTGGATACCTACTGAATGCACAGGACAAGAGATCTTGTGTTGGTATGTACTCAAATTAGAGAGACTCGAGTAAATTATTCTGATTGAAAGATGTGTCTATTCTGTCTTGTATTTCTGTCTGTATGTTTACGCATTTAGTTTTGGAGCAGAAGTAGATGAAACCCCCACCCCCCCACCCCCCCCCACCCCCTTTGTAAAAACTTGAAAAATAACAACACTTTTGTCCGAATGCTCAAACAAACAATGAAAAAATAAGTAGGTTTAATTTTACTTACCTGTTTTCCTTCTTCTGAACACTAAGATTTTAGGTATGGAGCATCTCCGTTGAGTTCTGACTGGTCTATCTCAATCTATTTTAATTATTTCATACAATTTCATTAATTGACGTTTATTGTGAAACCTGTTACACTACTACAACATGGAAATTGTACTTCAGGTGCTCTTATTTCATTTCCGTCAAGGATACAAGCAGCGAATATGCACATTTTTTATTTTTAATTTGTAAAAATGACCTTTTAACGCCCTATGAATAGACCGAGTATATGATACATGTACAAAAGACTGTATTCAGAAAAAAAATGAAATGTATTAATTAAAGCACAAAATTTTTACAGCTTTGAACAATACTTAATTCATTAATTTTCTCTTTTCATGTAAGCAAGTTTATTACGAATTAAAATTGTACTTCGGGTTCGTTGCCAGGATGCTCTAAGTGAGGAATATAAAAAAATTACCGATAAATTTACTAGGTAAACCTACTAAAAGTCTTTCGATATATAAATTTATATATTCACAACTTATAGTGTTATCAAGGTTTTACCATTATTTTAATGACCATTCTCACAAAAGCTTTTTTTATGTTCATGCAGCTATAATCGCCTCGTTTTTTTAACATCGAGCTCGATGCTATATGATGTTCGAGAAGTTTCCGCCAATATTAAGATCGGTGAATGACGAAAATAATTTCCTTTTTAATCGGTTATCATAACTTATTTCTTTTATATCATTGAAATCAAGTTTTGATTGAATAATTCTGTGATGACGTTTTATAAATAAATAAAGGATTGTTTTTTGTCAGTTTCATTAAAAATTGTAAGTGACTTAGATCCTCCAACTGGAACCGTCACCATACTCACGTTTTTGCTATTTCATGGCTGTTAATAGAAAATGAAAATAGGCTTTTAATTTAATGTACGATACTTACTATGCCAGAGAAATCTAAATATATAGTTTACAGACATCATCTTGTATCTAGTGTATTCATAGAGGAGAATAAGAACTCTGGTGCACCCGTTTCGGAGATAATTTGCAAAATTTATTGATTAAAAAGTGCAGATTTTTAAAATTGCAAATTTTCATCGACTTTTTCGGATTCATTTTTTCCACCAATGGCCTGATTATCATTTTTCCTTAATATGATATAAAAGAGAAACTGTCAACCGCGTAATTTGGATAGCAATACCCATTGCTTTATTGAGGAAAGGGTAAATAATTAGTGTCTTTATCAGTTCTGCTAATGATCATACTATAATAGTTTTACGCAAGTTGATAGAATTCATCTGCCGACTAATACATGTAGGTTAAGAAGAAAATCTACTTTTGGAAAATAGAGATAATAATTTTTTAAATAGTGATGACCGCATTTTTAATTTGAAAACGCATTGATTGGAAAGAGCAGCAAGGTTATGATGCTCATTTTTGAGTTTATTATGATGCTCATGTTTGAGTTGGTAGATTTCAATTTCAAACCACACTCCCCAGCTTGCTATTACTGAGTAAAGCTACGGTAGCAGCCTGACGGTTTACATTCGATTATATTCGAAAATTCCTTAAAACCAATTATAAAAAGTATTTTCTTATGAATATCACACAGGAATGTCAGGCATATGCAACGATCTTGATACATATAACTTTATGTAGAATAAATAAGGAATGTCCAAGTCACGATGTTGTTTGAATATTTAAGGAAAAACCTTGCAAATGCTTTTCCTATGTCATAATGAAACAGCCACATTTTGTAAGGTCCCTTTCAAAACAATATTATACTCCCGCAGGAACCCTCTATTTAATTTAATCAGTATTTTATTATGTAAAGTCAGTTTACATAATTGGATTGGACATCAGGCATGGCCTATATAAGTCCTCTCCAAGAAGGTCAGGGTTACAAAGATTAAGAATTTACAATGATTTACAATCATATTGAAATAATTCATAATAAGTTACATTAATTTCTTTTGTTAACTAGAAACGGAAAAAAGGAGAGATAAATTAATAAATACACAGGAGTTATTACTTAACATGTTTACTCACTATACAATATAATTAAAAGAAAATAAAAGAGTGCAAACAAACAACAAAATAGAATAAGTAAACAAATAAAAAAAAGAGAAGAAAATAATAAATAAATAAATAAATAAATAAATAAATAAATCTGGAACAAGCAAAAACACTGGATAATAAAAAAGAAAAAAAAAAGAACGAAAGTGCAAAAGACAAATAACCAAGAAAAAAAATACAACATTTGTACATGGAAATGCTGAGATTTGAAGTAAGTATAAATATAAAAAATATTAGGAAATTAATATTAAAACTTAAATATGAAATAATATAAAAACCGCTTTGAAAACTTGATGTATAGTTGGACTGCTTCAAAAATTGAAAAGTTAGTTTTATCAGGTAATTGCCTATCACCAAATAGCAAAGTATTCAAAATTTGATCAGGAGAGAGGGTTTCTAATTCTATAATACTCTGAAGACTATCAAAAAGTATCATTCTCTGATTATTATAGGCAGTTCATTCTTAGAAAAAATGATAGTTATCCTCGTTCAGATATCCGCACTTAGTACAAGATGCCATTTCACTTAAATTTCACTTAAATAATGCTAATACAGGTGAGCATTGAGATTACTAGCAAGATTCATTTCGTAGTTGACAATGTATAATGTTTTCCTTACGATTACCATAATTAAAGATCTTGACATCCTTTATTCTATCTAGGTTTCTTTCAGATACTCTTGAAACTTGAATAAGATTCAATACATTTTGTTTCTAATGGTAAATTGTTCCATAATTGAATAGTAGAAGGCAGAAAACTGTTGAAATATGAGACCCTGAGGAACACCGCAGATATAGGTTTAAAATTTGAATAGAACCCATTTAAGGCCACTCTTTGAACTCTATCATCTAAATAATTTTAAATCCATTTTAATAATGTAACTTGAATACCATAAGATTCTAATTTAAAAAGTAGGCATTTATGCCAAACTTTATCAAAAGCTTTTGAAATATCACAGAAGATAAATATAACTTCTTTACCTTTATCTAGGTTTGATATAATCGTATTATAAATTTCCACTATTAAATTGGTTGATAGTTGAGTCATTTGGTTGGAATCCTGACTGTTATTTTGTTAAGATATTGTTTTCTAATATAAAATTGTACAAATATTTAAAAATATTTTTTTCCATAATCTTGCGAACAGTACTAGTTAGTGAAATTGGTCTATAGGTATTAACTAAATCAGGACTACCTTTACCCTTGTAACTGGGGCAATATTAGCTTGCTTCCATACATTTGGTAAGCGTTTTAATTCAAATGATTTATTAAAAAGTTTTACTAGTGGTTTACAGATGAAGGAGGATAATTGTTTAAGAATCTTTGGTGTTATACCATCTTGACCAGGGGGTTTGCTTACATTTAAATTATTCAATTGATCAGCCACATCTTGCTCAGTGACAAATATGTTTTCAATGGTTACTAAGGGAGGACCAGGGCTATGCTCAGGCAAGGTTTTTCTTTCATCAACACTAGAAACATTTGAGTAAAAATTATCTAATGCTTCTGCCTTTTCTAATGGATGAAGTAAAATTTGACCATTTGATTAGGTCACCTGAGTCACTCAGGTGACCTATTGCTATCCGTTTTTGTCTGTCGTCGTGCGTCGTCCGTCGTGCGTCGTGCGTTAACTTTTGAACATTTTCAGCTTCTTCTCTAAAACCGCTCAACCAATTTCAACCAAATTTGGCATATAGCATCTATGGGTGAAGGGGAACAAAAATTGTGAATTTCATGGTCCCTGCCCCCCCTGGGGCCTGAGGGGTGGGGCTAAAACCACCAAAATTAATGCAATCTTTAAAAATCTTCTTCTTTATTCCTGGACATCAAGCAGTCAAACTGTTGGCATCATTGTAATAAGCATTGAGCCCTCTACCAAAATTGTGAAATTCTTGGACCCAGGGTCAGGGGTTCTGGTGCTAGGGTGGGGCTATATAGATCACATAGTGAAAGTGCATTATTTCTTTGAAAATCTTCTTCTCTGCTCCTGGGTATTAAATAAAGGAACTAGGTACATAGTTATGATGAGCAAGAGTGCCTCTTCCAAAATTGTGAATTTCATGGCCCCAGGGTCAGGGGTTCTGGTGTTAGGGCGGGGCTCTATTGATTATATAGTAAAAATGCATTAATTCTTTGAAAATCTTCTTCTCTGTTCCTGGGTATTAAAAAAGCAAACCAAGTATAAATTTATGATGAGCAAGAGCGCCTCTTCCAAAATTGTGAATTTCATGGCCCCAGGATCAGGGGTTCTGATGTTAGGGCGGGGCTCTATTGATTATATAGTGAAAATGCATTAATTCTTTTAAAATCTTCTTTTCTGCTTCTGGGTATTAAATAAAGTAACAAAGTACACAGTTGTGATGAGCAAGAGTGCCTCTTCCAAAATTGTGAATTTCATGGCCCCAGGGACAGGGGTTCTGGTGTATGGGGGGGGGAGGGGTGGCTCTATTGACTATATAGTGAAAATGCATTAATTCCTTGAAAATCTTCTTCTCTGCTCCTTGGTATTAAATAAAGTAACTAAGTACATAGTTATGATAAGCAAGAGTGCCTCTTCCGAAATTGTGAATTTCATGGCCCCAGGGTCAGGGATTCTGGTGTAAGGTGGGGGGTGGGGGGTGGCTCTATTGACTATATAGTGAAAATGCATTAATTCTTTGAAAATCTTCTTCTCTGCTCCTGGATATTAAATAAACTAACTAAGAAC